TCTATGGTTAACTGGTAGAAAATAGTTCCAACAATTGGTAATTATAGTTTATCTCTAAAATCTATAGTTAACAACCCTAAATTATAGATTTCCTGTTAAATATATAGATTTTATGAATTTAAATTACTGTTAACTATAGTTAAGACCGAAAACATTAATTTACAAGTGTAAATCATATTCTATGTATGATAGATTTAGTTTCATGATTAGTGAAACTATGATATCAAATTTTGATCGAATGTTGATTATAGTTTACATATGAGAATTTATATTTCTCAACAAAAACAATCATTAACATTTAGACACAGGCAGATAAACTTGGTTAACCAAGCCCCAATCCAAATATGAACTACTGTGAAGGAGAAACTTCAGATGTATTGTGCTAAAACATATTCAAATATGGGTTTTAAAATCTTCAAAGAATTCGTGGAAAATTTATTTAAAATCTCAAAAATTTTCAAACATTAATAGCATCAAAATATATGACTTTTCTACGCTTTATACAACCATTCCTCAACATAAATTAAATAGCAGACTTCTTGACATCATTGACAACTGCTTCCTAAATAAAAATGGAACTCGACTGTTTTTGTATTTCTATGAAGCAGAATTTATTCAATAACTTCTACACGATAAGAAGACTCTTTCTGTGGCCTTTAACTCGACATTTAGATATATCGACGACGTATGATCAATATAATATATCGATTTACAATAGTTATTTTCATTCATTTATCGACTCGATATATCCCAGTGAACTCAAAATGAAAGATACTATAGAGTGTGTTACAATGTATATCTGTTTTATATTTGGATGCTTTACAGATTTTGGACGATAATTGCCTACTGTTAACTTAACTTTTTGACAAACGGGATAACTTCAGTTTTTCCATCGTCAACTTCCCTTATTTATCTAGAAATATTCCAACATCATATGCATAAGGTATTTATGTCTCCCAACTGATTCGATACACAAGGCCATGCTCAGAGTACGATCAGCTTTCAAACCGAGGCAAACTACTGATAAATAAGTTGATCTTACAAGGATTTCAACAATCCTGTCAGATTGTCAATGTCATATTTTTGCAAATTCAATGGTCGTTATAATGACCTTGTTTGTAAATGCCACCTATCGTTGTACCGTATTTTTGTCTGACATGTCTGATACCATGAAATATATGGAGATAACGAACAGTATTCAAGCTCAAAAGTCCATTATACAATACGAAATAGGAGCAGAGCAAACACGGACCTCCAAACATCAGAGGTGGGATCAGGTGCCATGGAGGAGTGAGCATCCCCTGCCGACCGGTCACACCCGCCGTGTGCTCCTTGTCATGATCGGGAAATAACGGAAAAATCCGTCGACAATTCAGTGTGTAAATAATGGCCTAACAATTAGTATGAAAAACGTCAGTCAGCATTTGACTCAATGATAAATTGTATTTGCTGACAAGGTCATTGTATCGACCATAGAACTTACGAAATGAAGACTTTAAACGAGACAGCTGATATTCTTGTTTCATCAACTTATTTGTCAATAATTTACCTCGTTTTAGAAATTGTACGTACATAGAGCATGCTCTTGCGTATCGAATCAACTGAGAGATATATACCCCGTATGCAGGTGATGAAGGTATATTGCTGCATAAGTAAGGGAAGTTGACGATTGAAAAGTTAAAGTCATCACGTTTATCATTAAGCTTGGTTGTTAGATTACCATTAACGTCTTTTTCAAGCAAAATATCCAAATATGAAACAGATGTGTCAGACTCTGTGGTATCTTTTATCTCAAGTTCACCAGGATATATCGTATCGACATAAGAATGAAAATAGCCATTGTTAATTGACAATACGTCGTCGATATATCTAAATGTCGAGTTGAACGCATTATTAGGTCATTTCCTTTATACTAAATTTCACTACGGATTACATAGGGTGGGTATGACCGGTCAACAGGGGATGCTTACTCCTCCTAGGCACCTGATCCCATCTTTGGTGTTTCCAGGATCCTGTTCACAATTCGTTTTTGTTTATTTGATTTAGGAGATTGATAAATGTTCGTTATCTTCAAATTTTACAATTAAGCATTCGTAAACTATAGTTTACAACCGTTAAATATACCGGTAGTTTTACAGATAAAAACTATTGTTAACAAATCACTTGCTATACATCTTCATGTTAGTAAGGCATAAAGTACAAATTTCAGTTTTTTTTCAGCAAAGTTATTGATACATGTATGCAGTCTCCATCTCTGATTTTTTTTTCGTTCGTTTTATTGTTTCTTTAAGTTATGAAATATAAATTTGATTTCTATATAAGCAGCCAGTTTCTTGATTTAAAAGTTTTATTGTCTGTTTTCTTAATTTTGCATTTCATGAAATATATTTTTTGAATAAAGTATTTTTATGTATGAAGCGTATGATGTAAAGTTTTGTGTCAGTTTTTGAATAAAATTCTAAAATTTATTAAAGGAAGCAAGGACATTTAGCTGAGAACAATCTAATCATTATTTTTTTTATACAATGTATCTTGTATATTACTAGTATAGTCTATCATTTAAATACTACAGCAGTTCTATCGCCAGTTTCTTACTTGCCAGGCAAGTATTTTTTCCTATAGGTCTAATATGACGCTATGAAATGAATAACGTACTTTTAAAGACAATTTTAACAACACTATATTTAGGAGAAAAGTCAATATTTTAATATTTACAAAAGAACTAAAGTCCTTCACTTTATTGACGAACTGCACCATATAAAAAGTAAAGCTAACCTCAGTATTACATAGAACATTATTGAATAAGACATAACCAGGATAAAACGCATATTTACATTTTTCGAGTGTGAGGAAAACCAACTATGACGTAACATTAAAGCCTTGCAACTGAGATTAATATAAATCCATAGATATATCAACAAACATTCTGCCAAAATATTCCTTTTGAGTGGAACATTGTATTGGCTGTTTTACAATGTACCTCACCATGCTCTAACCATGGCATGCTTTGATATATTAAAACCAAAGGTACTTGTTTCTGTAATAAAAATTTATCTTCATAAAATAAAAACACAGTTAGTGTAACTCCAAGGTTTGTAGTCAATTTTTTTTTTTTGCCTTAGGAGTAAACTCTGTGAAAAAGTATTTTCCCTCCTACAATAATTCATCTTTTTTCTCTTTTCGTAGATGTACAGATAAAAAAAATTCTGATTTTTTAGAGGACAAGAGAAGTAAACCTACATGGAGATATTGCTATAAAGATTATTTTACTTTTATATAGGAAGACATTTAAAGATCATAGTTTTTGGGGAAATCAGTGGCGTGGTAAAAAGATGAATACTTTTACAGCTTCCCTTTTCACTTGAGAAAAAAAAAAACCCAAAACATATCGGGTCTAGTACTTATACTATACAGGAATCTAAAGTTTATTAATTACGCATTATTAATTACTGTATTTTAGAGAAAATATAATGCAATGTCTGTCTAAAAGATAAACATTATTTCAAGGGACAAAATATACAGACAATCTAGCATTTATCGGTCACGTGGTATAGTTCTTGAAGTTCATTGGTCAGTTCTCATTCATCAAGGACTTATCGCATGTTTCTAAATTATTTGAAATTAAAAGCGTAAAACGTTCCTTATGACCACATTTTATAAATTTTGTGTTTTTACTGCGGATAAAACGCGGTAATTAACCAATTATTGACTCAAATGAAAACCCCTGAATTAAAAATCTAAGTTAATTAGATAGCGATCACGTGACCCTGTGACGTCAAAGGCGACAATGGCTGATCAGCTCTTCACGTAAATCTTACTAAAATATACGCGATACAACCTGAATTTTCTGCGTTATGGACGACCAAATCACTGATTTTATCGATATGAAATTTAATATCCAACCTTATATTTTAGAATTGTCAGCAAGAAATAATCTGAAAAATCCGTTAACATTGTAAAAATAGCAGCGACGATAGCGAGGGAGACGCGGCGAAGACGAAGAAACTCGCCATCACAATACAATTTGATTTGTCATTCTATCACATGTATTAACTTATTTGATTCACAAATTTAATATTACATAGCTTTGTTATTCTTCGTTTTTAACATAATATTAATTTATGCAAGTATGCTTTCATATGTTTTGTAAAGGATGGCGGTCTTGAAAAATAATTTTCCGATCACGAAACATTGCCGTAATCAGACCTACAGATTCTAAATAAAAAACGAAAATATCTCAAAATTCCTATACCTTAGAACTAGTTAATGTTTCTAAAGTAATTGAAAATCACGTAAGGAATTAATTTTTTCAGCATTTTTCATAATTAAGCTGCATTTGTCGTTGATAACTTCGTAAATAATGTGCAACTTCTCATCTCTCTATCACTGAATTGTCGCCTATGACGTCAGAGCAGTATTTCCCCGAAATCCGACTGAAATATGCATATTGCCGTATTTGAATTTCAACTCTCAATATCTCTTAAAATATGCTTTCAACAACGTTTATTGTATTCAGAATTTTAATAAACAAGGTTGTAGATAATATTTTTCATAAAATTAAGATTTTTGAAAAATCATGCGATAAGTCCTTTAAGATGAGTCTTAACATTGCTCGCTCGAAATTCTAATTCCATGGAGTTTTTTGCAGTTATGGTGATCTGTCCTTAGATGTAAGGGAGAATACACAGAGAGACAATTTGTATAGCTTATAATTAAAGTATCGAATTTCTTGACATTATATTGGCCGAAGATAAAGAAACTGAATACATTATTTGCTCAATGAAAGTATAGTGATTTCTGTTCACTTGTATATCAATGTCTTTGAATATTTTTCCTGGGGAAATATAGTAGGCATCCTATGTTGAAAATGAACAAATGTTTACCTATATATGATAATTTTCAGTGCAAAGAAATTTTCATTAGTATTTTAGAGCCTTCTTTGAGTACTTAAATTCTATTCCTCCTTGCTTTAAGAATTCGTTTTATTCCTGTAATCACCCATGGCGATCTGTTTCAGACCATGTGTACATGGGGATAGAACAGCGAATGGCAAGTGTGTTTGCAAACCTTGCTGGACTGGCGAATCTTGCGATGCTCCACGTAAGTAGAGACGATATAGTCTTTTGTTCACGAAGGTAACTAAATCAAAACTTCCTAACTATACAGGGTCAAATGAAATTCTCTCTCACATCAATTATGATTCTTTGTAATCAAATAATAAATAAATGTCTTTAAGTTTTTATGTTGCAGTTGATAAAATTGGGAAAATGCTGACCTGATATACATTATTTTATTTTAGGAAATCGATACACACCTAAATTCAGTCAAGATGAGTATTACGCTTCAGTGTCAGACCTGAATAGTGTATTCTTTGTTCCTGACCAGGAAATGGTTGTATGTCAACACGCAGACAAATGTGCTTGTGCAGAGGTCTCATTTTCAGTTTTAACTGGAAATGAAGATGGCTTGTTTACTATTGATCCCCTAACTGGTGCCCTATCGATCAGTCAAGGAGCTGTCCCAAAGAAAAATCGATATGTAATCACTGTCAAAGTCACAAATCAATTAATCAGCAACAATATCAAACAGCCAGAATCCATAGCTTCAGTGATTGTAGTTTTTCCTGGATTTCAAAGTGGGATGGAAAGCCACCATCACATTGAAAAAAGGGTAAAAAAAAACCCAACTTCTTTAAATCAATTCTTTAATTAAATATCTTTTTATATTCATATCTTAACAAAAACTGTACCTACCGTCATAACATATATCTGAATTATCAAGTATTAGGCATACGTTTAACTATTAAAGGATCATGATATAAGGAGAGAGTATAATTATGTAGGGATTTCTCCCCTTTGACATTTTAACTAATATAGCCTGAATGTCTAAGTTCAGCAAAATACATATAATAAATGTATAATAATACAATAATGGATTCTATCACCAAAAATTCATTAACTGCTCTATTGAAGTCAAAATTGACAGTACCGTGGGGGTAGTAAAGATCTAAATACAAAAGCCTTTAGCTGTAATCGTGATGATTAAGAAGAACTGAAGTATAAAGTAGCTGTAAAAACAACGGTCATTCAGTACTGTAAATTATCTCTACTCTTTGTAGGCCACCTCAAGCGTAGTAGGAAATGTGACATTTGATTTAACTAAGAAATATCCTTACAATGAGACCACTGAGATGAAGGTCGGAAGCCGTGTGAGGTTTCAGCTGATAATTACCTTCCCTATCGAGGACACTGACATGTTAGTGGAACTCTTCACTCCGGACAACGAGACCACGGTCATGATTCTGTGTGACGTTAACGTCACAAACGTTGGGAGCAGTCTTACTTTCAATGGAAGCAAGATTCCAACCATGGACGCCCGAGAAACGGGATCTGTGATGGTATATCCTTGTAGCAATGTTTGCTTTGATTCAAACGTATTCATCATTCAAAATAATGAATTGTTTCTTGTCTTGTCTAGTACGACAGAGCCATTATAAATTTTGGAGTGGTCCAAAACTCAGGTTGCACTACTGCTGACGAATGTAGCATATACATTGAATACGAGGCCATCCTCTTGGAAAATCCTTCCACTAATGCCGGTGAAGTTTATTGGGTTAGCGCAGGCGCTGAGTACAATAACGAAAACGAGGTTTGGGTTGGACAAGCCTCCTTTGTGGCTTTTCCGAACGATACAGTAAGCTTTTTTTATTCAGTTTGGTAAATGCCTTTTTCCCTAAAATCATTAAAAAATTAACTTCCCACAATTTCCAACATTTTTCTAGGTGGTCACTGAAAATCCCATCGTCAATTTTACCGGTCCTAGCTCCCTATCCGTAGGATCAGCCGGCGTTTTTCAAGTAGACCTGCTTCTTCCCAACCCCTCTACTACACTTAGCTTCGATGCCTTCGCTCCCATCAACACCTCCTCAGTCATGTCAATATGCAGCGCCAAATTAAAATACATTTCAGACAACTTCAAATGTGGCTTTGATGAAAGGGCTGTTTCAGCGCAATACTATCCAGATCAAACAGGCATTGGAAATTCCATGGGTCACTTGACTCTAGGAACAATGATAAACAAAGGCAAGACTTTGTAAATGGACTAAGACCCATCAAAGGTTTTTTTGTTTGTTTTTATTTCATTTCAATCCCCGCTATCACATTTTGTTTTCTTGCAGGGTCTAGAGATGCAGCAAACATTATGGAAAATAATCTTGTATCAGTAGAATTTGTGGCTCATATGTACAATGACCCTAGCTTTGTTGGCACGAATAACATGGTTGGGGCAGCTTTTGAGATTGGGAGTGCTCAGATTTGGGCCGGTCAGATGCAGGTTACAGGAAGTGCAGAGGTGGATGCGTCAGCCATGGTTAGCGCTCATGTTTTGCATCATTTGATAAAAATGTTGATAAATAATTTTTGCATTGCATTTATTAATACTAGGACGTGTGCTTTTATTCCAATAGGCAAGTCCAATATTGGAGTTCAATCCTCCTAGCGGACAAACTGTTGCGATGGGAGACGCGATTACTCTGTTGCTGGAGGTGCAAATTCCACAGTCCACCACAACATCTTACACTCTCGAAATTAAAGCACCATTTTCTACAACTGCCGTGTTTAAAGTATGCACAGTAGAAATCAAAACTATTGGAGAAAACATGCCCTGTGTCCACAAAGAGGACAAGAAAACTGTGTACTCTTCACGGGATAGTGGTGCTTCTGAACCTGACACAGGTACCCTGAACTTGGGAGGAATAACGAACCTTAATATCAACGCTACAGCAGATGCTAGTACTATTGCGTTTGAGATCGTTGTTGCACCTTTAAATCATTCAGCTGCTACTGACATGTCGTCTCACAATGTGGAAGCTACATTAACTTACGCAGGTTCGTCAACCGTTGTTCAATCAACATCCATCCTTATATCGGGCACGTCAGTCCTGGTTACCAGCGTATCGGTAAGTCTTGTTCCCAACTCCATCTTACATAAATATATTCACACTTTGTAAAAGAATGAAATTTTCATGATAAAATTTTAGCTTAAAAACTAACCTATGCATAAATATAAATACCTGGTAAAATCAACAGAATACGACATCCCCTTCATTTGACATGAAGTACCTGTTCGGCACAGAGTACGTGGAAGTGGGGACAGCAACCCGAGCACAGCTAGAGATAACCACGAACAGGAGCGTGTCCTACCCTATGATGAACATGGAATTTATCATGCCTCTGGGAAACACGTCCACCAAACTATCAATCTGCAGAGCCCGGATGTTGTCTGCTGGTAGGAATCTTCCATGTGTGTCACCAGATTGGATCAACACACAAGTTACATACCAATCACAGTTAGTATTCATACTTCAAAATGATACGCGGTATACTTGATTAATCAAAATAAAACTTTAAGTTGTAAGAAATGGGTAATCATGAATTCTTACGGGATGATTATTTGGTAGAGTAGCGATTCCATATTTCATTTAGTTTCATGGTATCAAACCTCAACCTTGGTGTTTCCTTGTTCGTTTGGCATATAGATTGTTCTCATAGTAACTATGACGGTGGTCTTTGGACCTGAATTTAGTCTCTCTAGTTCCTTGATGTGGCTGTTTCATGATTGATTTTCAATGCATAAAAGTACTGTTTACTTAGTCCATATCAAAGAATAAAGAATGTCCCAGACACATGCAAGAACCGAATTCCTCTTCTTGCTAAGAAGTCGTATTTAATGGAATTCCATACCATACAAGTACTCACAAATTTAAGAATGAATGATTGTATATTCAGATACAACGAGACAGTCAACGACCAAGCTCTAATGTATCTAAGTACAGTCTGTAACTATGAGCGGGTAGATAACGTCACTGATGATATTATTACCATAATTTTGGACGTTAAAGTTGAAGACAATCCGGAGTTGATAACTGGAGTCAAAGAATGGATAAGTGCAGGGAATCAGTACTCAGACACCAAAATATGGGTCGGACAATTGGCTCTTTATGCTCAAAGAAGTGGAACAATTATCCCGGTACTGATTAAAAAGGATTGTTTAAATGATTATTAACATAAATAGGCATTGTATAAAATTATATGGTAGACTGTTGAAATTTAACGGGTTAATTTTTGAAAGATAATCTGCAATTTCATATACATTTTTTCGCAGGCAACTAACCCATACATTAACTTAATCCGAAATACAACATTATCCAGTATTCCTATTGGCTACCCATCTGTCTACACGGCCTTGATTAAAGTAGCACCAGAAGAGAGTGCCAAAGTCAAGGTCTCTGTTACCCTGGGGAACACTGTATTAAGTATATGTGGCATGCGAATAAAAGACATTGGGGATAACTTTCCTTGTGTGGATAAAAACGTCACCTCCTCCTTTAGTGGAACTTCTGGCTTCATCGACATCGGCATTGTCACAAACACAGGTAAACATGGATATGTTTTTGGATTAAACATTTTAAGATAAAACAACAATACACTGTAGAGTAGAAATAATTTAAGTTTCGACAAGCACTTTATGTATCTTTTCTTTTCGCTGGAATATATAACCTGAGAGTCTAAAGCAGCAGTCTTCTCTTTAAGGGTCTGATGCCCTGGTGATGAACGATTTCTACGACAGTAACACCATATTGGTTGAGTTATTAATTCAGCTGGCAGACGATACGGCCACGGTGACAAATGGTGGAAGCTATACATTTGATGTTGAAGTGGAATATGGGAGTGATGGGCGTAAGCAAAGCTTCCCTTCTCAGACCATCATTGCCTCCCATGACAAGACACTGGTCAATTTTGTAAGTCTAGCCATTACATATTATTGACACTGTGACGATGTGATGCATCATTAAGTACACTTAAGTTCCCTTTTCAGTGAAAAGAAATGGAGATTTTTTTCCATTGCTATTTTCCAGACTTCGGTTAACAACAGGACGACTAACACATTTTACACAGAGAACATCGGTAGCAACAACACAGATTTAAACATTATGAAAGGGGAGTCTAAGCGGTTCCTCCTGGATATGGTATTCCCAGAAGGAGAGATTCAAGACGTGACTGTCAAGTTTATGACTTCCATTGCTGGTGCAAATCAGAATATGATGGAGTTGTGTGGTTCCGGACTAACCGTTGTCGGTGAAAACTTCCCTTGTCTCGATAAGACAACTGTGAATCCTGTCTATACAAAAAGGTAATCAAGCTTATTACAAAACAAAAACTTGCTTTGAAGATTTTGAAAGATTTCTACGTTGTATTGCTTGTGTTTAGGGCGGGATCTTTAGTCAAGGACACTGTGACTTTACAGCTCGGCTTCGTATGTTCCTCTGGGGTTAAAAGTGGGGATAACGAGGCTAACAAGGTTAGAATAAATACATGTATAATGCTTAAGGTCAAAGTCCGGATTCGTGTATTAGTTACCATTTTTGCATAATTTTCACTTAATTCATTAAATTTAAACTTTGAATTATACGTATAATTCAAGGTTTAACACAGATAATTGACATATAAAAAAGACTCCATACATCCTCTCCTCATGTCTGCCATTTTGTTTAGATACTCCTGCCTTTTTCTCTTCTAGCTTCGTTTGGAGGCCGTGGCAAGGCTACTACCTACATCCACATTGTCTGCTGGGAGTACTATTCCATTTCATGTGGCTGTCAACACCAATGATGTTGAAATTTACGTGGGTCAAATTGATTTAATTGTATCGGGCACGCCCACCGTCACAAACACTGTAAGAAAGCGTTTGAGTCCTTAAATTTTGATTTTTTTTTTATCGTTTATGTCAACTTGTTTTTAAATATTAGTATTCATTTTTGTAGACGACGAATATTGTGAATACGTCGCTGTTATACATTAACTCTAGCAGTGACCCCCTGCCACTTAATGTGGGCGTCGTCACCACCCTGCCCATCAGCTTGTATGTGCCACCAGATACTATGTCCAAAGTCCTCTTTGATATAGAGCTTCCAGTCCACTCTACGGTGACTCTGGGATCCATAGAGGATATCAGGATTTCTTCTAGTGGTAGCAATATCCAGTGTGTCTATGAAGATGATGCCTTATCGCTGAAGTACGAGCGGAAATACAATAGTACCACAAATACATGTCAGCAAAATCATGGAGAGTTGGATATGGGCACCGTTACTAATTCAGGTATATTAGTTAATCAGTCATTCCAAGAATAGAACTTGATGCTTGAAAAATAACTCATTTGCATGTATGATAGAGCGTACCGTTTATGATTTAAATAGAGGTTAAAATTGTGTTCACTTTCAGGAATATCACAAAGAGTAGGCACGCATACAGAGACAGATGACGTCATACAGATTGAAGTAGATATCCGCGTGAACGATAATGTCCCGGACACAGCTGGTTCTGAATTTCCCTTAAGTTTGGGTGCAAAAGTAGCAGATTATATTGTTATATATGAGAAAAATGTAACCTTAGCGAGAACAGGAAACGAGAGGCCCAATCTGGAAATAACTGCTACCTTCAACTCAGCCTTATCTACATCGTAAGTAAAGATCATCGTCTCAATCAGTGTGTAACATATCACATCAAGGTATTGTTGGTTATAATAAAATCATGAATGATACTTATTGTAGATCCTCGATAGTCATTGATACTATTTTAAAACACACTAATTTGACGTCCGCAACAGCTGTAAATGCCACAGTGTTCTTTTATCTGCCACCGTATCTGGGATATAAGCAGATTCAAAGTAATGTTACCCATAGCGGTCCTCTAGTGACAGGCGGAACAGTAGAACTACAGGTAATGTGGAAAATCCACTTATCCACATAATTTTGTAATCTAATGTATATAAAAGGTCTTTATCCATGTTATATCAATTCTCTTTTTTATCACATAGTTCGACGATTTGGCAATGTGTGAAGTTGTCAATGTACAGTTGACACTGGAGCCCAACCAGACGATCACCGTTCCTCTTGATATATTGACAGAAAATACGTTGATTGCATATGAAGCAAACGCTTACATGATTTACAACCCGGCTAGCGTATACCCCAGTGACAAATATTTCGATACACCACTTCAATACTTAAACTTCAGTGTAACTGTCACCAAGGCTGGAGGTAACTTCCGTTTACTTATAAATTGTTTCCATAAAAATGCAGTGATATGATAATTATAGTTATGAAACGAAGCATGCGCAGATAGAAATAAGTACAATGCGCTTAAACTTATTTTATCCACTTGCAGTTTGTGATGAACCATTGGGTATGGCGAGTGGACACATAGATGACTGCCAGTTAGATGGCTCCATTGAAAATGATCCCGCTCGCCCTCCGTCCCACGGCCGATACAATGGAAACTCCGGTTTGTTAATTTGATCTGTGGAGTATAGCTATTACACTCCACATGTTCTATTCTTTTTAAAGCATTCTCATTCTAAAGATTCATTTAGTTGGGCACTAAATAAATATCTGTGTTTTATACAAATTTTCTAGCATGGAGACCCTTCTCAAGAGGTCCTACATTTTCAAAATATCGATACTTCCAAGTTTTCTTTGGAAACAAGACTTTGGTGAACAAAATTATAATTCAGAAAGGCTCTGGATACACTCACCATCCCACCCAGCTGTCCCTCAGATACAGTAATGACGGCTACTCCTGGCAAACGGCCGAAACGGTATGACATTCAGAGGGAATCTGTATAAAAATTTTATTTTCTCTCTATGACACTGATCACAAATCCAAAAAACTAAACACAAAAACAAAAAAAGGTTTAATTGATATAGGAACTTGTAAATAAAATAACCCATATATCACATCATAATGTATAAATCTTAACGTAATTAATCGAAAGGGCGACCTGTATTGTGCACACTGTTAACCTATTAATCTTCTTTACCATAATCATCAAGGTGACAGTGACGGTGCCATTCACAGAGACTACTGTATACCCACAAAGACAAACCCAGGCCCGCTACATGAGGGTCTATATTGATAAGGACGACACCGTGAATGGATTACCCCCAGATATAGGACTCAAGTTTGAGTTCTTTGGCTGTTATCTCAGTGGCGAATTTACCACCACTAGTAAGTAATCACACATCTGCAGACGATTTATATACAGCTATATTTTTGCGACAATTTTATTTATTCTCATTGTTTATTACTCATTCTTTTCTTATAACTGTCAAATGTGATTTCTCAGTAATTTATCAAAATTATTCAGATCTCTCAATTTCTTGCGTTTGTTTAACCATATTTATTTATTTATTTTTAATTTTTCAGACATATGCAATGATGCACCAAATAATATATCTCCAAATGGTCTGTATCAAGCATTTTGAATCTTTTTTGTACAATACTTCAAAAGCCCATGTCGTTATTTGAATAGAATTTCTATAGTCCTTGGCTCCATTGTTGTTTCAAATAGCGTATAATTTAAGTAAATTTTCTTTTGAAACGTGTTTTGCATGTTATCTTCTAAGGTAATTCTGTTTTCCATTCCCAGATTTCTACTTCCGGAGTTTCCATGCTCTGAGTGACAAAGTTTTAATGTGCGATATTAATCCAAACGACAGGTGAATATCAAGCAAATATTTCACTTTTATCCCTTTTTAAAGAATAATTTATGGGTGAATATGAAATGATTAGAATATTCATCTTAAATCATTGATGACTTTTTTTTGTCTTGTTAGAGTGCAGTCACATGTTTGTAATGAATCGCAAGCTAGATATTACTCACATACATGTATAATACTTTCTGTTCTTGAAGGGACCTGAAACAACATTGTCATTACTCCATGGATGGAAATACATGGGCGGGTATATATTTTTACATAACAACTATATATTTATTTACCATTACATGCTTTATACCTTTGTCGTAGTATTCAATTTTCATTAGTGATACTTCACCAATATTTTAAACGTTTCTTTTTAGCAATGGATAGACGTGTTGCAAGTCTTCTAGGACACGAGTCCTCTGGAAATCTCTTCTTTGCTTATGGTAACGATCAAAGGTCCACCCTAATGAGTAAGGATGGTGGGATCACGTGGGATAATGTACCACGTGACTATTACATAGATACTAGATCGGAAATTACGTTTACTCCGTCCAAAAATGTCCCAATGCAGGTGACCAACCTTGCTGTGGCCGAACCCCATACGAGCTATCAGTTTGGAAGCTGGGGAGGTCTGTATGAGAAATGTTTTTTTTTTTTTCGAAATTGCTATAGACAATCCGAAACATAATTTTCAAGTTTCTGACCGTATTCTCTTTCAGTGACCTTTGAGGGGTTGTGGAAGAATTCTGCTGGGGTATGGAGTAAAGTTGTGGAGTGGGACATCTGCTGTTAATGCTGAGAGAACTATGATATTCTTTAAAAGTTTATTGACTTAATATTTGTTAAATGTATATCCACGTTGTGTTTTTGTTTTAATTTTTAATATTGTTATCGCATTTTCCTTTTAAAAATGGTGAAGTTTTTAAATTCAGAAAAAAATCTATTTATTCGAACAATGATATCAAAATCCATGTACATGTACACTGATCCCCTTGTTTGTGAAGAAACAGATGAACAAAAGCTTACATTGTGATCAGGCATTGGTTTAACATTGCTTAGTGTTGAATCATCACAAAATATCTGAGATTGCCCGAAGATAATTGAGCTGTAGATTATCTGCTCAGAGATATTGCTTAAATCAATATTTGTACCCATATTTCCATGTGTAATCCCTGAAAGTGAATGCGTGAACCTTTATGACTGTAAACTTGACCCTTAAGTCAAGTATAATTTCCATTAGATTCTTTTAACTGATGCCGTCCACAAAGACTCTCTCTTGAAAATCTTTAGGATACTATTTTTCTAACAAGGGCTAAGAAATGCCCGCTTTTATCATTTGATATTATATATTTTATCTTTTATATCAATAGAATAAAACATGAAATGTTTTAAAACTTTTTTATGTCAATTGTGGTGTAACAACAAAGAGAGTTTACATGGATCATAGCGCGCGCTCTAAACATATAGTGTCGAACTTGATTGCTAATCAGAATTGCTTTAGCCTACCTGAAAACACATTCCGAGGAAAAGCCAAGGAAAAAAATCCCTGGCCGACAAGTACAGTTTACATTCGATTTGATTAGATATAAAAGGTAGAGATAAAAAAAAAACTCGGATTGAATGAATCTTACATCTAAATTACATTGTATGTAGATGTGTTTCTGTAGCAATACTTGTAAATAAAAATTCGGCTTGCCACAGAGCAAAGCTGAATGTAGAGAATTCATGTCAAGAAGGTAAGCTGAACTGTAAAGAATTCATAAGAGTACAGCTGACTAGAGAATCCATGTCACAGAATACAGCTGACTAGAGAATTCATGTCACAAGATAAAGCTGACTAGAGAATTCATGTTACAGAATACAGCTGACTAGCGATTTCATGTCACAGAATTCAGCTGACTGTAGAGAATCTATGTCACAGAATACAACTGATTGTTGCGAATTCAACTGACTAAAGAATCTATGTTACAGAAAATCAACTGACTAGAGAATTCATGTCACAGAATACAGTTGACTAGAGAATTCATGTCACAGAATACAGCTGACTATAGAATTCATGTCACAAGATAAAGCTGACTATAGAATTCATGTTAAGAATACAGATGAATAGAGAATTCATGTCACAGAATACAGCTAACTAGAGAATTCATGTCACAGAATACAGATTACAGAATACAGATGACTAGAGAATTCATGTCACAGAATACAGCTGACTAGAGAATTCATGTTATATAATACAGTTGACTAGAGAATTCATGTCACGGAATACAGCTGACTAGAGAATTCATGTCACAGAATACAGTTGACTAGAGAATTCATGTCACAGAATACAGATGACTAGAGAATTCATGTCACAGAATACAGCTGACTAGAGAATTCATGTCACAGTTTTGAGCTGACTGTTGATAATTCAGATCATAGTGCACAACTGACTGTAGAGAATTCATGTCACACTAATGACTATATTGACAATAAAAATATGAAAACGATGGTAATGCAACAGAGGTTATAGACATGCAGTTGAAGAGTAAAACGAACAAAAAGAGTTTTGAGGAAAGCAAAACGAATAGAGGTGTAGGAACATACGCCTTTTGAGTTCCTCTGTGTTATACACTTTTAAGTGTCTATTATTTGAATACGTAATGCGATGCAATGTTCCCTCTACATGTATATTGTTTCCTTTATATTACAAGTATTTTGAATTGTTTCCTGCCAAATTGTATCATTTTTTTTTTGCTTTGTCGTCATGCTTGGATTGATTTTAACGAAGGCGTACTTTTTAATCATCTCTATACGTGTTTCTTTCCTTCCGGTCGGGCGCGATTATCAGCTGATTTTCGTTATTTGCCAAAATTTGTTCACCTTTTTGAGTGACTCTCTGGACAAATGCTTGTCAAGGTGATAATTTATGTTAAACATCTCTGTTATCCTTCACTTTGAGTGCGATTTACCAACATAAGATAAACAGCTGGTATATTACATTTATGATGATATTGATTTACTAACATAAGATAAATAGCTGGTTTATTATATTTATAATGACATAAGATAAATAGCTGGTATATTATATTTATGATGATATTGATTTACTAACACAAGATAAATAGCTGGTATATTATATTTATGATGATATTGGTTTACTAACATAAATAGCTGGTATATTTTATTTATGATGATATTGATTTACTAACATAAATAGCTGGTATATTATATTTATGATGATATTGATTTACTAACATAAGATAAATAGCTGGTATACTGTAAGCCAACTTTTATTCGTATGCGAGAAATATCCGCGAGTTTCGCGATCTACTTTAACTCGCAAATATTAATCGCCGCGAACCAAATATGTTTTTATTTATTTGTAAAGAATGTTTCCTCTGTCGCGAAAATTGATCGTCGCGGATTGATTTCAAATTGAGGAATCGCGAATAAAAGATGACGCGAATAATAGTTGGTTTACAGTATTATATTTATGATGATATTGATTTACTAGCATAAGATAAAAGCTGGTTTATTTTATTTATGATGATACTGATTTAATACATAAGATAAATAGCTGGTTTATTATATTTATGTTGATATTGATTTACTAACATAAGATAAATAGCTGGTTTATTATATTTATGATGATATTGATTTACTAACATAAGATAAATAGCTGGTATATTATATTTATGATGATATTGATTTACTAACACAAGATAAATGGCTGGTATAGTATATTTATGATGATATTGATTTACTAACATAAATAGCTGGTATAGTATATTTATGATGATATTGATTTACTAACATAAATAGCTGGTATATTATATTTATGATGATATTGATTTACTAACACAAGATAAATGGCTGGTATAGTATATTTATGATGATATTGGTTTACTAACATAAATAGCTGGTATATTATATTTATGATGATATTGATTTACTAACATAAATAGCTGGTATATTATATTTATGATGATATTCATTTACTAACATAAGATAAATAGCTGGTATATTATATTTATGATGATATTGATTTACTAACACAAGATAAATGGCTGGTATAGTATATTTATGATGATATTGATTTACTAACATAAGATAAATAGCTGGTATATTATATTTATGATGATATTGATTTACTAACATAAGATAAATGGCTGGTATATTATATTGATTTACTAACATAAGATAAATAGCTTGTATATTATATTTATGATGATATTGATTTACTAACACAAGATAAATAGCTGGTGTATTATATTTATGATGATATTGATTTACTAACATAAGATAAATAGCTGGTATATTATATTTATGATGATATTGATTTACTAACACAAGATAAATAGCTGGTGTATTATATTTATGATGATATTGATTTACTAACATAAGATAAATAGCTGGTATATTATATTTATGATGATATTGATTTACTAACACAAGATAAATGGCTGGTATAGTATATTTATGATGATATTGATTTACTAACATAAGATAAATAGCTGGTATATTATATTTATGATGATATTGATTTACTAACATAAGATAAACAGCTGGTATATTATATTTATGATGATATTGATTTACTAACATAAGATAAATAGCTGGTATATTATATTTATGATGATATTGATTTACTAACATAGGATAAACAGCTGGTATATTACATTTATGATGATATTGATTTACTAACATAAGATAAATAGCTGGTATATTATATTTATGATGATATTGATTTAATAACATAAATAGCTGGTATATTATATTTATGATGATATTGATTTACTAACATAAATAGCTGGTATTTTATATTTATGATGATACTGATTTACTAACATAAATAGCTGGTATTTTATATTTATGATGATACTGATTTACTAACATAAATAGCTGGTATTTTATATTTATGATGATACTGATTTACTAACATAAATAGCTGGTATATTATATTTATGATGATATTGATTTACTAACATAAATAGCTGGTATTTTATATTGATTATGATATTAATTTACTACCTAAGAAAAATAGCTGGTATATTATATTTATGATGATATTGATTTACTACATAAGATAAGTAGCTGGTATATCATATGTTTTTTTTATGTTTCCATAACATACCTTTGATAGTAAGGAAAAGTGGCACTTGTGTCAATGAGTAGATAGGTATCCATCCCACATACTTTGGCAGTCATATAAGCCCCTGACTCCTTAATAGACTGAACAATTCTAGAGTGTTCATCTGTCTTTTGCATTTTGCCTTGGGACCGGTCATCTGACCTATGCTCAGTCATGTCTCTCATTTTCTGTCTAGGATCTGAACGAACAAGGAACCAACCATTCCTTATTAGAGCAGGTAGACAGAGACGTCCTGTCCGCTAATGGATCCTGTGTAGAGATATATGGTAAAACATCTATAGAACTTGTGCTAAATGCGATGAGATGATAGTGGCCGATCTATCTGTAGATGGAATTCTTGGTTTAGATTTTCTTGTTAAGTATGAAGCTATCATAAATATGCGTACACACAAGGTTGAAATCTCTGATATAGAACATCCTATTCAGATGGAGGGTACTGCACAAGAGTTCAAGATTGCTTTTGGTCAATAGAATAGTTATACCTCCAAGATCCGAAATAATGAGGGCAAGATATGTGCAGGGCCGGATGGAGGATTCCCTGTGAAGATAGGGCTTGTGGAACCATCCGAAAAATTCCAAAAATCTGATTCTGCTATGCTAGCCAGAACACTGATACGACGCCAAGAGGCAGTACCACTCCGTATTATGAATCTGTCATCCACAAATAAGACTATACAGCCAGGAACTGTAGTTGGTAAATTGTCTCCAGTTAAAGAGATTGTAGCACTTTCATCTCTTCTTGATAGAAGCACTACGATTCTTAGGAGTAATGAAAAAGACAAGGCCAGAAGTTTACTCATCAAATACTCAGAATATTGTTTTCTGTGGCTGATGAAGACGTTGGTCGAACCTCTATGGTTAAGCACAAGATAGATACAGGTACTCATCCAGCTATCAAACAGGCACCAAGGCGTCTTCCTTTCCATATGCAGGAGGAAGTCCAGGAGCACGTATCCGACATGCTTAAAAGAGGTATTATTGAGCCTTCCCAGAGCGCCTGGTCATCAGCAATAGTCTTGTTGAAGAAGAAGGACGGATCCAAAAGGTTCTGTGTGGATTATAGGCGCTTGAACAGTGTCACTATCAAAGACGCCTATCCTCTTCCCCGTATCGACGAGTCGCTTAATCAGCTGAAGGGAGCAACGTGTTTCAGTACTCTAGATCTGAATGGATACTGGCAGGTAGAGCTAGGTCCAAGCGATAAGCATAAGACGGCGTTTGCAACCCGGCAAGGTTTTTATGAGTTCAATGTCATGCCATTCGGGCTCTGTAATGCCCCGGCAACGTTTGAACGTCTTATGGAAACTGTGTTGTCAGGACTACAGTGGCAGATATGCCTCATCTATTTAGATGATGTCATTGTATATGGGAAAACATTCGAAGAAACGTTACATAATCTAGAACAGGTCTTTGAGAAGCTACAGTCAGCTGGTTTGAAGCTGAAGGCCAGGAAATGTCCGTTGTTTGCAAAACAAGTAAAGTACCTGGGTCATGTTATTTCAGAAAACGGGGTCGAGACAGATCCCGGAGAAAGTCGAAGTCGTGAGGCAATGGCCAGAGCCAGTAAACAAGACACAAATTCCTTGGCCTCTGTAATTATTACAGGAAATTCATAGCAAACTTTGTTGATATAGCTCGACCGCTTCATAAACTGACAGAAGCATCAGTTGCTTTCAAATGGACAGATGAATGTCAAATAGCATTTGATGTTCTAAAAACTAAGTTAACCTCCAGATTTCAGTAAACCATTTATCTAAGATACCGATGCAAGTCAAAATGCGATCGGCGCAGCCTTCTCTCAGATCCAGAATGGACAGGAAAGGGTAGTCGCTTATGCCAGTAAAGTTCTTAGCAAGTCTGAGAGAAGGTACTGTGTGACCAGGAAGGAGCTCCTGGCAATAGTAACGTTTATAAAGCACTTCAGACATTTCTTGTATGGACGTAACTTTGTGGTCAGAACAGATCACAGTTCCCCTCGATGGTTGCTAAGGTTTAAGGATCCATAAGGCCAGTTAGCTCGATGGCTAGAGGTGATATCGGCGTATGATATAGAAATCGAGCATAGAGGCGGTAGGCTACATGGAAATACTGACGGGCTAAGTAGACTCCCATGCGTCCAGTGTGGATATTTTGATGATTGGGAGAAAGTAGATTTGCATGAGCATGAGGAATATGCAAGGGTATTACAGGATGAAGTCAAAGACACGGAGACAGATGAATCAAAGGACTTGGTAGAGATACAGGATAGAAGTCGGGATATAAGACTCGTTAAGAATTGGATTGAGGAGAAGAAGCTTCCAGACTACAGTGAAATTACTGCTGAAAGTTATATGGTTAAATCACTGTGGGCTCAGTGGAGTAGATTGGCATTGAAGGATAACTTGCAGTGTCGTATGTGCATGGGAGCTTGAGGAAAGCAACAACACGACATATCAGATTGTTATGCCACTGTCACAGAGAAGGTTTATTTTACAGCAGATGCATGACTCCAAGACATCTGGCCATCTAGGAGTGACCAAAACCCTGAACAAGATCAGACAAAATTACTACTGGCCAGGACTGCAAAGCGATGTTAGAAGTTATGTTGCTGGATGCGACATATGTGCCCGGAGGAAGGCTCCACATAAAACAAAGAGAGGGCCTATGCAGCCTTTGCAAGTGGGCTACTCAATGGAGAGGATAGCCACAGATATCCTTGGGGAATTTCCGGTCACAGATAAAGGGAATTGCTACATACTGGTGGTTTCGGATTACTTTAGCAAATGGACAGAAGCCTTTCCAATGCCCAAAATGGAGGCTCAGACAGTTGCAAGACTGATCGTGGAGGAAGTAATCTGTAGGTTTGGAGTTCCTGTGTCCATTCACTCTGAACAAGGCCGTCAGTATGAAAGTCTTTTGTTTAGCGAAGTATGCAAGCATTTACAGATCCGAAAGACAAGAACCACACCATACCATCCTCAGTCTGATGGTATGGTAGAACGGTTCAATAAGACGTTAGCCACCATGCTGGGAAGTTATGTTAGCGAGAACCATCGGGATTGGGATGAGAGCATACCCTTCGTAATGATGGCATACAGGGCATCACAACATGAATCAACCGGATACACTCCAAACATGTTGATGCTTGGTAGAGAAACTGCTACCCCTCTGGACATCATATATGATATGCCTGCATCCTGGAAACAGGTACCGAAACATGATTGGGTCTGGATCCTGACCGATCGGATGGAAAGGGCTCACAATTTGGTGAGGAAACATTTAGAAGGAGCTATATTTCGACAAAAACATTATCACGACATGAAGATGTCGTATGAAGAATTCAAACTTAGGGACCAAGTATATGTGTTTTTTCCCCAAAGGAAAATTGGTTGCTCCCCAAAGTTGACTTCATATTGGCGAAGACCATTTCAGGTTCTATCAAAAGTCTCTGAGGTCCTGTATAAGATCAACTGTGGATCAAAAGCATGTAAATCTCAAGTGCTCAGAGGCGAGGATACAGACTTAGGGCTCGAGTGTACAGAGCCGGGGACAACTGATTCCTCAAATGTTGAAAAAGATCTTGAGGATCAGGATGACTTTGGGTCATCTGACAAAAATATTGAAGTCGCGGATGAATTAGCTGGTGATAGGAGACCAAGATGCGAAAGGCATACCCCTACTTGGCTTCAAGATTACGTCCAGGACTAAAACTAATTAGACAGATAGTCTTTTCAGCAAATCATTGTCATTGTTTTCAAGAATTTTCAGATAGTCATTATCATTGCTTTCATGTTGTCTATATAGATCATGTTTTCTTCATTTAACCATTTATCATCATTAATTTTAATTACTGTTTTTGTCATACGAGGGCGCATGAGGAATAGAGGCGTGGGTAATGTGACAGAGATCGGACTCGGGATGTCCTTATACATTACGTCAGCCGGACTTTATCGTAGTGCGATACGATAGCGGCCAAGGATAGTCCGGGTATAAATGGGTATATATATGAGCGTTCTGCAGAATGCTGCAACTGGCAGTTGCCAGTCGGAGCTCAAGGTAGAAGGTCCTAAGAGGCGTAATAGTGAGGTACGGCGGAGGTTAATAAGGCTTGAAATTAATACAGTATTTGAAGGTTAATAAAGTTGTAATTACTTTTCCTCGAATTTTATTAAGATCTGTCTGTGTATAGGACAGGGACCTCGGAGATCCGTACCTGTCCTGGTACTGATCCATGCAGGACACAGACCTGTCCGGGTACAGGACCCATCCCAGATTTGAGACCCATACCTGTCCTGGTACTGATACATGCAGGACACAGACCTGTCCGTGTGCGAGACCCATACCATTATTGTTTAAAGAAAGTTGTATGCTTTTATGTTAAGGATAGGAAATCCTATTATTATATCAAGTGTGCATTTTGGGACATATATATATATATATATATATATATATATATATATATATATATATATATATATATATATATATATATATATATATATATATATCAAGTGTGCATTTTGGGACATATATGTGCATTCTGAGAATAAAAAGGGGGGGGGGAATCAGGGTAGGAATTGATAATTCTTTTCTTTCAATTTTAGTCCAAAAGCATCTGTGTGTAATTTTGACTGACTATTCTAAGGACCAAAGAAAATGGCCAATACTTACATGTGAGCTACTGTTCCCTGCCAGTGGCCTATTTTCCTTTCTGCTGATGTGTAGGCTAGTGTGAAGTCACAGATTTAATCCGAGGCGCAAAGTGTGGGTAGGCAAGGGACCCCTCTTGATAGGTATTGGGGGGGGGGGGTCAAGGGGAGCATTTTTGCAAGCTCGAAGATATCTAGGATTGTAATTTGACAAGTGAAAATGATATTGTTAACATATTTTCAGTTTATATCATGATATGAAGACCACTTAACAAAAATGAGAACTCTTATCCTTTTACTCTGCTTAGAAAATATGGAAACTTCCTTACTGAATAATCGAAACGATCAATACGTTTAACTTCCAACTAACAAAAATATTTCTAGTTATCAATTTTACTTCCTGCACTAATCCTGTTTCTGTCGATGGTTTTGAAATTGTCTGATAAGATTTAATAAAACACTTGAATTTCGGCTTAAAAAAGCAAAACTGTAAACAATTCACATTGTATAGGTATAAAAGTGCGGATTGCTAAGAATGCTTTTTTGGCATATGCAACAAACAGACAAAATAATATTAATAAGATTTACAATCAACTGCCCTTTCCCATTTTTTTCAACTAAATTTTTATCCCTGACAAAATGATGTGTAGGCTACAACCTTTTTGCCTAGTATATGGAATATACGCCATTGTCTGCATGCTTCTTTCATTTTTAAAATGTATTGTCCTTACTTTTTTTTAATCCTGTAATTGAATTTCTGTGCCTCTCCTACTGACAAATAAATTTCACTAGGCCATTTCAAGTTTTAAAGGATATTTCCCTATTAACAAATGACAAAGGCAGATAAATCGTTTGTACTAAAAATCTGTTTTTATTTTCATAAGAATAATACATCTAATTAAAATGGAATGTTTCTCTTCTCCTGTGTCCTCAATAAATATCTATAGACAAAATATTCAATTGTCTATCTTCAAAATGCATGACAAAATTGATACTTACTCCAAAACAAACAAAAATTAGCACAAAGGAATAACATCTATACAATGAGATAATTTCCATGTACAAAATGATGGACACAATGTACTATCTTGGTGTCCCAATAAGCTCAGTTCATGTAAATTGATCAAATGATTTTTATTTTCAAGAGATGCTGAAAAGTTTGTCATACCCTGTATTACTGAAGGATAAGCTTTCTACCTTTCAGGTATACTTTGATATGTGTAAAGAAATGTAAACCTACCCTTTAATTTATAACACGGTATGGTCAGCAAGAACAGATCTAAGAAAACCTAGCTGACCCACCAATTTTTTTAAAGGGCTTATGGAGGCAAATATGGTGCTGGTAAAGGCCGGTTTATATAAGGAACATTGCGATTTTAAAATTGAAATTTATCTTTTGTTTATTTGTGCAATTCAACATATTTTATCCTGTTTGTAGTACATGGTTCACTGTTCCATTTTACAAACAGCATCAGTCATAGAGAAAAGTAGGATTTTGCTCTCAAATCTACAGCAAGTATAGAAATACCTTCGCTGCTTACAGTATAAAAGAGAGTATAAAATTCTTGTTTCTTTGTTTAAAATATGGTTGAATATATGTATATTCTTTTTGATAAACAAATAGGAATACATGCATGTATGTGTGCAGAAATAACAAAAAGCCTTGAATCTTCAAGATAAATGAACACTAACTACCTATTATCAATGGTGTCATGGTAAAATCAAAACAGATCACATTTGGAAGTCTATCAGTGAATGTTCAGTCATTAGTGATGCATCAATGTCCATTCAATACATACATATATGTGTATGTTTTTTATATACCATAAAGCATACATAAGCTACCTATTACATGTACATTGATCAGCTGAGTGCAGTTTCTGAATTCACAACAAGTCTGGACGGCTATATATTGTATGATAACCAGGCATGTATTTTAAAGCTTTGTTAAAAATAAATAAAACTCATAGTATATGTAAAACTGCTAGAAGAAAACCCTTCCTGCCATTTGGTTTATACTGAGTGTCTGAATCCAATGTCCCCCGTGATTAGTGGGACTAGTCTCCAAGTCCCGACCCCCAGTGCATGATTTGAACTGATGAGGAATCAGACATCAGTCTGTATGGGACTGGCTAGTGGAGATTTCTCCTCCTCCTCTTGGTTACCATAGTGATAGTCCGTACAGTTCTCTGTATTGACGTAGGTACTTTGTATGTTTGACCTATGCTGCCCTTGTTTCATCTTGTGCTCTAACACGACTAACATCTCCTTAATAGACGTCACTAACTCACTAAACTGAGGTCTATTGTTAGGGTCAAACTCCCAGCAATTCCTCATCACAGTATATCTATAAATCAAACAGATATTCACAACTCATTACATCACGTCTAGTAACAATGGCGTCATACAGTTCTCTGTGTTCAGAGGTACACACCATAATAGGCCCTGGGGTCTTACACAGTGAATCAGTTACATAGACTGGGATAACAGAATCAGTCAGTAAATATGAAATATGACCAAATGAATACTCTCTAAAACATGACTTACAGTGGGTCAGGACAAAATGGAGGTTGTGGCATTCTCCGGTTCTTTTTGATATACCTCAGTACATCCCAGTTATCTACTTCTGGGTATGGATTAACTCCCCTGGTCATCAACTCCCAAAGTACCACACCAAAGGACCACTGAAAGACAATATATATGCTACATCACCAAGATACACCAGACACTAAAGGTTTGTTAAATTTATTTCTAATTCTGGTCAAGGGCAAGTCCCCATTCATAACAATTTACTTTTCAGAGCTTTTCTGGGCATTGTACAAAGGTTGGAAATTTTTTTAATATTACCATGTGTTTAATTGTACTGTCCATCAATTATCAATTCAACAAAATGTTTGCTGTATTTTTTCTGCCATAAACGTTTTCTACTTGATGGTTCTCAGTAGAAGTGTTCATTATGGTGACTCAATGATTTCAATACATTTTTTTTTCATTTCACTGCTTGAACTTAATTTTGGATGATGAAAGGTCCAAATTTTAAGAGATAAAAACTAATAAAACCATGGAATTTACCATGGGAAATCCCTGACTGGTGATTTCAGCTAAGCTAATTTATCTTGGTGATTGACAATGACAATCAAATTTAACGATTTAAATCAACAATTTAAAAAGCCTACCTATAACTTACTATGTCTGAAGGGCTAGCTAACAATCCATTAACCTATCGTTATATAGCTGACTTACCACATCAGACTTGGAGCTGTAGGTGCCCTTCTCTAAGCTTTCAGGAGCCATCCATTTGACAGGCAGTTTACTTTTTTTATTGTCACTACTGTAATAATCTCTCTCATATATATCTCGTGACAAACCAAAGTCTGCCACAATGGCTCGGTACTCCTCATTCAGCCTGGAATTACAGTAAACAAACCTGAGTACATTTGTAGCTCATAGTTTTGTATACAGTGGACACTTGTGTTTCCATAGTTTTGTATACAGTGGGCACTTGATATTGAGAATGCTGATTGTTTCATAGTTTTGTATACAGTGGACACTTGTTATTGAGAATGCTGATTGTGTTTCATAGTTTTGTATACAGTGGACACTTGTTATTAATGTCTTTCTGACCAGTATAATTTATGAGACTGTGTTTTCTCCAGACTTACATGCAATTCCGACATGCCAAGTCTCTATGTACAACTTTAAGAAGTGATAAGTACTCCATCCCTTTGGCAATATCAACAGCAAAGAGAATGAGATCCTTTATAGTTGGATTCTGAAATCAACAAAAATTCATGTTTAAATTGATAAAAAAAAATATCAGATTCAGTCACCATGTAAACTGTGATACTTTAATTTCATAATATATAACTATGGTATTGTTCATTTGGGAACAATTTCAAATACAGTTTTAAATTAAAAGTTTTGAAGTGTCACTCATAGTAGATCTTCTCTTAGATTGATAAAGGCATCATGACTCAAGATTATTTCAAATTTAGGCACAGATTTCAAGAAATGTGTATTATTAAAAAAAATCTCATCAAGTCATATGCCATCACAATGACAATAGGGCACTAGCACCAAAAAAAAAAAATCCAAGAAATCTAACAGAGACCTTAGATGAGCACGAGAATTAGAGAGCCAAATGTGTCTGTGTTATTTGAGATACCCATGAATTACTGCTGCAGTTTTCAAGAATATTTCTTATAAGTGAACAAGAAGGTTCCTATTTGAGTGTACAATGACATAATAACAGACAACAGATGGCATACAAGATAATCCCTTTGTTTGACATGCTGAACAGCCATATCCCTGATTAACTACTGAGATATACTCACATTGTTTTCATTCCTAATATAGGTCAGTAAATCCCCATGCTCCATATATGGCAGTATGACAAGAGGCATGGCATCATAGTTAAAGCAAATCCCAATGAGGGTCAAAACATTAGGGTGGTGGAAATCTTTCATGCGAAGTGCTTCATCAATAAACTGACTTATGTCAATTTCTCTGGGACTGTTTTCTGTATTAAATAAGAAGCAGAATGAAATAATGTATAGTGATCAACTTACCTATACTACTGAATCTCACAGTCTATGTTTATTGTATTACAATCTACATTCTAGGTCTTCGTTTCAGTTTTAGTGTAATACAACTTAATACGGTGTAGGGTTTTCACAGCTACCATTGTTTTAGTGTATTACAACTTACAGTGTAAGGTTTTCACATGAGCTACCACTGTTTTAGTGTATTACAACTTACGGTGTAGGGTTTTCACAGCTACCATTGTTTCAGTTTTAGACCCCGGGTATGTGATATATCCTTTGTATACACATCCAAAGTGACCTGCAAAATAATGTTTGTCAATTATGGTGTCAAAAATATCTATAAAAAGATTCATTTTTAGATATATTCAATTCAGGCTCCAAAAAAATGACTCATTTTAATACTGATTAAATTTCCACTTAAACAGTGAGAAGAAGAGCCCTGTAACCCTTTATATTCTGACCTCTGCCCAGTATTTCCCCCATTGACAGCCAATCGTGTTCTATCAGAAGGTTTTTGTCTCGTAACACAAGAACTGTAGACTCGTCTAATACAACAGCTGCTGTGTCCCCTCTTGACAAGTCCGCACCATCATCACGACTCTCTGATAGATGGCGCTCCTGATAATCTGAAATTTGAATTTAATCTCAAATAGTAATAGAGACTTACACAAAATTCTTTACAAAATTACAAACAAGCACTGAGATATTTCTTTGGCATTTCTAGACACTGTGCACATACTTTTTTTATGGGGTCATAATTCCATGGAATACCAATTTCTGTTCAATACACAGGTAGTAAATTTGCGGATTTACATCTTAAATATCTTTTTTTTTTCATTGAAAATTTGTACATATGGTAAATTAATCCCACATGTAAAAATGTACGTCTACAGTATATCAGTTGTCAGAAAGGAAGCAACTGAATAGATTGTTGACCAGTTGTTATTAATCTAAGCACAAGCATATTGTCTTTGTTTAGGATAAGGTCAATTATCTTTTCATCTGCAAATAATTTCCAAACATTTTTAGAACATCTTTGCATATTAATCTATTTTAGGGAATCACTGCATATATACATAATAGCTTGTTTACTTTATTTATAAACATTGTACCCGGTAATACACTGTATGTCATATAACATCACACAGTATGGTGATATCAGGATAGTGGGGAGAGCTATCATAAATCTGGTGAAGTTTATGAGAGATTTTCAATATGCATTTAATTTGAAATGAAACATGCTTTTATGCATTTAATGTGCAAGTTCTTTAACTTCTTATCCCCATACTTCCTGAAATTGCTGAGACATTAAGTCTCATTTGTCTGTCTTCTGTCACAAAAACTTTAACCTTGGTCTTTTAAATGACAGAAAAGAGTTTTCATGTTTAATGTGTATTACCTGACACAAGACCTTTCTGAATGTTTTAGGATTTTTGACCTCATGCCCATGACCTTGACCTCTGACCTATTTTTCAAAAATTTTAACCTAGGCAATATATGTAGATTTGCACCAGAAAAGACAGGGCTTCAATATTTTACATGCATTAGCTGTGAAAAGACCCTTCTGGTTGTACTTCAACATTATCTCTCTTTTTGATTAGACTGCTATCACAGACAAGCCAAGGCAGACAAAACAGTTACAATATGCATTTGAACCCCAACCAATAAGACCCTATAAGCAGGGGACCACAAGCCACAATTCTTTGAATTTGCTTATTTCTTTATAAATAACTTTTGATAAATGACTCAGATGAGCATTTTTTTATGATTACTCTTCCCATAAATTATAAGCTCACCTTTTGATGATGTGATGGCATTTGCACAGACAATACTTCAGAGAACATTTTGTATATGTTTTCTCACAGTTGCTTAAAAATATGTTAGAGTTTGCTCTTGTGTTGAAGATGTTTCACTATTTCTTTGTAGGAATTTAGATGGTCGCCAATATACTGATTTATTGCTTTTTCTCTCAATTGCACTGGAGTAGCCATACCTGGCCTTATCTCACCTGCAGTGATTCACAGAGGTTTGTAAATAGTGACCCCACTCACCATTAGCTCTATTGTCTCTTTCAAAGTCAAACGTTGTTCCATCAGGGTTACTTAGGCCATGGAATTGGACTTGTCCCTGACCATTGGCATATCCAGCAGTGTAACCTTTCTTTGTGAATGGACCACATCGTTTCTTATATATAATGATAAGTACAATGATCACAATGATGATAATAGCAAGGACAATGGCAATGACAATGATAAGAGTTGGTGACTGAGAGGAGGGACCTCCAACATACTGTAGATTTCCAATGTCAAAGGTCAAATTTACTCCAACCTTCACCTGTAAAAAGAACAAGTGGTCAAAAGGCTTCATGGCATTATTTTTCAAACAACTTTCACTGTATTGTAGATAATTATTGTGCAGTAATTTCAGAAAAAAAATTTCATGTACCAGTACGTTTATTAAGGCCAAAGGTCAAGATCAACCATTATCAAAAACATCTTATCCTGCTTTAACTGTGAGTGAAGTTTACTATATACATGTAGAAGTCAGAAGAAAACAATGAAAAAAGCTTGACAATATTGCTGATGCTGATGGGCATGATAGGTATCATCAATGCATAGATCACATGTAATAATTTGTAATCCAGACAATTACTTTCAGAATTTTGGGGGGGTTTTGAAATTGTTGTCAGTTGTCAGTGTAGACAGTGGGCACTATACCTTTTTTCTTTGAGATAATTAATAACTTTCTTTCTTGTACATACCTGTACAGGATAATATGGCTCACTGTCTTCTGTCTCTAGAGGCTTGTTTTGTGGTTTACAGTACAACAGGTTGCTCTGGAGAAGTTTAACCACACACAAGCTGTTTCCAATTGTTACAATCACATCTCTTGGTGTTATCCCTTTATCAATGTGTTCACCCTATGGACAGACAAAACAATAAGTCTAAGGGCTACAATGCTCACCTTAGTCATTTTTCTCTAAATTCTTCATCATGGCTCCAAAGAACATGTCAAAGGCTTCAGCAACTTAAGGATGCTTTTATATCAGTGTGAATATTTGTTGCTTTATTGTTCTGTAGTACATTTTTCAAAGATTTTTTTTTTATCAATTTTAACATTTTTTTTCAAACCTATGTACAACTTTGACCCCTGTTGTGACCACATAAGCCCTTGGGGTGGTGGTGATATGCAACATGAATACTTAGTTACTTAAAATTTGACTAATTCTGCAGTCTATGTGAAAGTTTTTGACAGGACATTTGGTCCTATGAATTCCAGGAACACACAGGACCAAACCAAATTTTGTCAGAAGCTTAATTTTGTGAGAAAGTGATACACATGAAAATGCAAAATCAAAGAAATCTTATTTATTACACTATTAATACATAATACTTGAGACGTTCCATGTGGTTTTAATCACACTCATTTACATATTTGGAATTGTGCGATATTTTTTTTTTCTTAAAACAAACATTTTTATGACTCTGTGTTCAAATAGTAAAACTATGGACACTGCGACATTGAACATTCCAGTACAGTATAAAAAATGATGCATCACACCTGAGGCACTGCACATCAGTCAGGAATGACGTTTTTTTGAAAAATTGACTTTGGTTTTTTTTTTATGTATTTTGCCCCCAAGGGCAATGATCTGAGCAACTAAACATTTGAATACTCCATGATAAATAAACTGAACACTTTATTTGCATGCATTTTCCCCACTTAAGTAAACAATAGTGGTTTCTGTTCATCAATACTTCTATGTCTTTGAAATAGATAAGCTCAATAATTATACCTTAAAGTTTAAATAGTATAATTTTCTCAATGTCCAAAAAACATTTTGATTTAGAGTATAGAGGGTCATCCTTAATGATTAATTAACTCACTTTTATAGTAAGTAAATCTTCTGACAGATCAAACTGCCTCACAGACATGAACTGCTCAAATGTTGGGCTGGGGTAGTAAGTGAAGCGACTCAGGGCTAGGGAATGTTTATCTAACTCTCTCAGCTCCTTAATTCCATCCATTTTGAACCAGATTGATACTATTTTGGGAATTTCTGGGTCTACCGGTTCAGACAAAAGACCCTGGATGCTAGGTGAAGGACAAATCATTATGGTTCCATTTGCTGTTGCTTTGCAAACCTGAAATTTAACTGGAAAAGTCTGAGATACACAAGAAATCTGAATATATTTATAATTTTGAATGCATCAATTCCATTTTTTCAACCTGCCCACTTCAATCACATCTCTTGTCTGACATTACAAGATAACTTAGTTAATTGTCTGACATTACAAGATAACTTAGTTAATTGTCTTGTGGATTGATAAACTTCCATTCCTCCAGTCTGAAAGAAGTAACAAAATTTTGAAAATATGTTATTTCATATTTTCTATAGTTAAGTTATTGAAGTTATGTGGGTGACAAGTTTTATCATAAAGTCCTATGGATCATAGGCTGACTGAACTTCAATCAGTAACTGTTTTGTTAAATACTCTTCCACAAAATATCTGTTATCTACTTTGCTAATTAATGTGTTCACAAATGGGGATGTCATCTATACATGTATACAAAAGAACTTCTGTGCAATTTACTTCTGGTTATAGACTTCTTAATAGATGTATTGTAAGTAGGCCTATAACTTTAATTCTGGACCAATATAAGCTTAATAGCCAGTCCAATATCTAAATTGTTGGACTGTGAATGCTCCCCTCAAAATCAGTATTACTGGACTTTTGGATCTCTGTGTAGAATTTTTGCCTTGTTCAATATTTATAAGGGTTTTATAAATGCATATTGGTGACATAGTGAATTGTATTGTGCAATAGTCAGACTTGATACCCACTAGTTCATACAGATGAGCTCTCATTAAAAACAGTTTAAAGTAAAGCTAGTTTACCCGCAGGTCTGCATTTTTTCCGTCTACTGTGGCTCCTATCTGAGGATGCTGTACTACATTCAGATTCTTTCCTCTCACAACAATTTCAAGTCCACCACTACAATTCATTGTAAAATTCAAATATAACTAGCATAGTCAGGACAGAGCTACAGTACCAATATTTCCTTAACAAGGTATAGCACAAAGCTACTTACTCCACAATGGAAGTTTTAGGTTGTATGCTGGTGATTGTAGAATCATTGACGTAGGCAAACATCTGTGAACTGTTTGTGTGACTGTTGTCAATTTGAACTGTGACATATGCAGCAGTAACCAGCGAGGGATATAGGGCCTCCAGGGCTGAGGTTTTGTATGTTATTTCTGAAGACACCATTCCATGTCCAGTCAGACAGAGAATAGATGAATGCTGTTTCCTGTGAAAAAAACATGTCAACTATATAAACAGCTAGTAGAGTTATGCCAAATAAAATATAACTAAATACTAACAATATAATTAATTGTGTCTACAGTGTATCTTAAAACTTATATCAGAAAAGTTCACAGTATACGAATACCTCTGTACGCTGCACTCTGCCTCTCCTATGAATACGCTTAGGTCTGAACCAATGTCCAGATTTTCTCCACTTATTGTCAATGATGTACCGCCTGATACTGGCCCCAGTGTTGGGGAAATGCCTGTAATAACTGGCACCTGTTGATCAGGATATAGTTAGTCAATGCTTACTTTTTACACTAACATTCAAATATAAATATAGTGACAATAATCCATTACAACTAGAGGACTACTTACCTGATAATGGAACTGAGCAGAGGCTGAGGTGCCGCTAATTTTATATCCTTTGTGTGTGTTGTCTTTCACTGTAAGTAAGATAAATGCTGTCCCAGGGCTCTGTGACGGAGGGGTCCTACACTGTAACCTTGGTAAAACAAATGGTCATACTGATATTAAGTCAAAACCAGCCTGGCCTCGAGACCATAAACTGAGAACAGACTTAAGTCAAATTTTGATTTTGAATATCTTGCGTTTTATTTAACATACGTACTTAAAAATTTGCAGGTTTGTATAATATTTCAATTTAAACATTTGATGAAAATTTGGTCTCATTATCAAATTATTTCAAAAATTATATTGATTTGAAATTTTAAGTCTGTTCTCAGTTTATGGTCTTGGGGCCTGGTGTAATGTATGAAGACAGTAAAACTAGTACTCATGGTTCCAAAGAAATTGTCCAGAGTATACAATGTTTTGGATTAGACAACATTTTTAACAAGTGTATTTACTAATAGAGACTTCAAAGTTCACATCTTATTCGGCAAGATTTCAGAATACACAAAATATTGATTAGACAAGTTTCATAGTGAATATAAGAAAAAACAAGATGTGTTGTGAAACACTGATGGCAACTTATAGCAAAGGTTATACTTTCTCAAATGCAAATCAAATATGTTGGTACCCAAAGTAAGGACTTGTCTCGAAAAACGTACCTGTGAAATATGAAAGCCACAGCAGCAACCATTGAATAGATATGGAAAAGGTTAAAGTTTTACAAAAGTAAGTCAAACATCAAGGTCAAATGGTCAAAATTAATGGTACCCAAGGAAAAGCCTTCTCACAAGAAATACACATGTGAAATATGAGAGCTGTAGCACCAATCATTCAAAAGTTATGGCCAAGGTTAAAGTTTTTCAAAAGTAGGTCAAACTCCTAGGTCAAAGTGGTCGATATCTAAAGGAAGGTCTTGTCACAAGGATTACATATGTGAAATATGAAAGCCCTAGCACTAACTGTTCAAAAGTTATAGCCATGATAAAGTTGGGTAAAATTTTGCAAAACTGGGTCAAACTTCAAGGTCAAAAGGTCAAATATGATGGTACCAAAAGAATTGTCTTGTCCCAAGAAATACACATGGGAAATATGAAAACCATAACTCCAACCAATCAAAAGTTATGGGCAATGTTAAAGTTTTTGTGGACAAACAGACAGACAGACGGACAGGGCAAAAACTAATATATCAATTTTCCCCCAGAAATATTGTCCAGAAGCTGAACTGTCTGGATTATTGGTGTCTGTAAACATGGCTCTACTGTACAATTAAATGGTTAACTTACATGGTGTCATTTTTCCCCTTGCTTTGTATCTTACAATCACTTCCATTGAGGGAAACCATCACCTCTGTGGCTCTGGCTGATCCAAAATTTCTTCCTTGCAGAGTTAACAGGGTTTGTCCCTGTATGGGGCCAGCTGAGGGGGTCACCTAAAAGGGGTAAATAAAGTACAGTACTGTAGATTCCTAAATATATGCAAGAAATTAATTATCGGGGAATTTCGCCAGAAGCTCCACTAGCAAAATAAAATTACTCACTTTTATTTTTATGGTGCTGAAATCCATATAAAAAAAGTAGAGAATAGTCGTAATATAACGGGACCTGTGGTGTAGACATCGTAGTGTCAAATATTTTGACAAATTGAAAGCATGAAAATGCGAAAACAAGGGAGATTGATATGAAAAACAATAAATACTTGTTATTTATTCTTTAAAAACGGAGTAATAGGTGATGAGATTGGAATAAACAGAAAATAGGTTTCATTTGTTTAAATGACAGATAATTCTCCTTTATTCTATTTCAATGCTATTTTTTCCAGTTGAACCGGTACTGGACTCTTTCCCAATGGGTAGAAAAAAATTGCTGCATTTATACCTGATATATAACTGATAGACATGTGACAGTGATACCTGTGATATAACTAGTGGACAGGTGACATTGATACCTGTCATATATAACTGGTAGACATGTGACATTGATATCTGTGATATAACTGTTAGACATGTGACATTGATACCTGTGATATAACTGGTAGACATGTGACATTGATATCTGTGATATAATTATTGGACATGTGACATTGATACCTGTGATATAACTGGTGGACATGTATCATTCTGCCACTGTCCTTGCTGTCCAGTACTTGTCTGTGGAGGGTTGACACACTTGTTTTGAGTGGAGCAGTGATCTACACACCACCCACACCTAGTTGGGTCGCGACTCCCCACACAAGCTTCACAAGTGGTATATCCATCACAGATGTACAGAGGAAACTTGTACAACTGTAATCAAACAAAAACTCTCCTCTATCATTCCAAAAGTTACATTCATCTTTATTGCTGTAAATTATTATTTACATGGTTATATACTGGCCAAAAAATAAAAAGCACGTTAATTTGAGTCCAAAATTTCACAAATGTCCTATACTTGTAATCCATATAAAAAGCAATCTTATCTTCTATGAACTTAAAGAAGTTATAATTTACAAGAACATTATTTTGATTCCAAGAATATCTTGCACAAAATGTAAGTAAAAATGTTTGTGTGGATAAAATGTGATTTACAGTATATTGATGATATTAAGTCTATAAAGGATTCAGAATTTAGCAGACATTAATATCATATGCAATGTATGTAAAGTGTACCCTACCCACTGATAATTATACAGAATTTTCTTAATTTAAAATCAGAGTATCTCAGATATTCTTATATAAAAAATCAGCACACATAGCCAGAAGTTGTGAGTTGATATCAAATAATGAATATCTTGTGATATTTTAAAAAAACAACAAACATACAGTTTTAACTTGTAATTCCTTCAAATTTGTTTAAAATGTACAGTATCACTAGCATTATGGAAGTCCCACAAAGGTCCTTTTATCATTAGAACTCTTAAATCATACAGGGAATAAGAAATGAAAATTAAAAAAAAACACTGCATATATGTATTTAATAAAAACTTACAGTTTGATCAGCAATAAGAAAGACATGTGCCTGACTTCTGTCCAACTCTGACTGACTAGATATTGCCTTGTCTGCTATACTCCAGCTTGTCAGATAACGACCACGTTGTAGAAAAATTGACACCTGTAATAAACATACACTACAGAGAGTTTTATTGACCACTAATTAACACCTGTAAAACATGTAAACTATAGAGAGTCTTGATGACCACTAATTAACACCTGTAAAACATGTAAACTATAGAGAGTCTGGATGACCACTAATTAACACCTGTAAAACATGTAAACTATAGAGAGTCTTGATGACCATTAATTAACACCGTTAAAACATGTAAACTATAGAGAGTCTGGATGACTACTAATTGACACCTGTAAAACATGTAAACTATAGAGAGTCTTGATGACTACTAATTATGTTCACATAGAGAGTCTTAACAACCACTAATTAACACCTGTAAAACATGTAAACTTATAATAGAGAGTCTGGATGACTACTAATTAACACACGTAAAACATGTTCACACAGAGAGTTTTAACAACCACTGATTGACACCTGTAAAACATGTACACTATAGAGAGTCTTAACAACCACTAATTAACACCTGTAAAACATGTAAACTATAGAGAGTCTTGATGACCATTAATTAACACCTGTAAAACATGTAAACTATAGAGAGTCTTGATGACTACTAATTAACACCTGTAAAACATGTAAACTATAGAGAGTCTTGATGACTACTAATTAACACCTGTAAAAAACCTACACTACAGAGAGTCTGGATGACCACCAATTAACACCTGTAAAACATGTAAACTATAGAGAGTCTGGATGACCACTAATTAACACCTGTAAAACATGTAAACTATAGAGAGTCTTGATGACTACTAATTAACACCTGTAAAACATGTAAACTATAGAGAGTCTTGATTACTACTAATTAACACCTGTAAAAAACCTACACTACAGAGAGTCTGGATGATCACCAATTAACACCTGTAAAACATGTAAACTATACAGAGTCTGGATGACCACTAATTAACACCTGTAAAACATGTAAACTATACAGAGTCTGGATGACCACTAATTAACACCTGTAAAACATGTAAACTATAGAGAGTCTTGATGACTACTAATTAACACCTGTAAAACATGTAAACTATAGAGAGTCTTGATGACTACTAATTAACACCTGTAAAAAACCTACACTACAGAGAGTCTGGATGACCACCAATTAACACCTGTAAAACATGTAAACTATAGAGAGTCTGGATGACCACTAATTAACACCTGTAAAACATGTAAACTATAGAGAGTCTTGATGACTACTAATTAACACCTGTAAAACATGTAAACTATAGAGAGTCTTGATTACTACTAATTAACACCTGTAAAAAACCTACACTACAGAGAGTCTGGATGATCACCAATTAACACCTGTAAAACATGTAAACTATACAGAGTCTGGATGACCACTAATTAACACCTGTAAAACATGTAAACTATACAGAGTCTGGATGACCACTAATTAACACCTGTAAAACATGTAAACTATAGAGAGTCTGGATGACTACTAATTAACACCTGTAAAACATGTAAACTATAGAGAGTCTTGATGACCACTAATTTACACCTGTGAAACATGTAAACTATAGAGAGTCTTGATGACCACTAATTAACACCTGTAAAACGTGTAAACTTATAACAGAGAGTCTGGATGACTACTAATTAACACACGTAAAACATGTAAACTATAGAGAGTCTCGATGACCACTTATTAACACCTGTAAAACATGTAAACATATAATAGAGAGTCTGGATGACTACTAATCAACACCTGTAAAACATGTAAACTATAGAGAGTCTGGATGACTACTAATTAACACCCTTAAAACATGTAAACTATAGAGAGTCTTGATGACTACTAATTAACACCTGTAAAAAACCTACACTACAGAGAGTCTGAATGACCACTAATTAGCACCTGTAAAACATGTAAACTATAGAGAGTCTTGATGACCACTAATTAACACCTGTAAAACATGTAAACTATAGAGAGTCTTGATGACCACTAATTAACACCTGTAATAAGTGGAAACTATAGAGAGTCTGGATGACTACTAATTGACACCTGTAATAAGTGGAAACTATAGAGTCTTAATGACCACTAATTAACACCTGTAAAAAACCTACACAACAGAGAGTCTGGATGACCACCAATTAACACCTGTAAAACATGTAAACTATAGAGAGTCTTGATGACCACTAATTAACACCTGTAAAATATGTAGACTATAGAGAGTCTGGATGACCACTAATTAACACGTGTAAAACATGTAAACTATAGAAAGTCTGGATGACTACTAATTAACACCTGTAAAATATGTAGACTATAGAGAGTCTGGATGACCACTAATTAACACGTGTAAAACATGTAAACTATAGAAAGTCTGGATGACTACTAATTAACACCTGTAAAACATGTAAACTATAGAGAGTCTGGATGACTATTAATTAACACCTGTAAAACATGTAAACTATAGAGAGTCTGGATGACTACTAATTAACACCCTTAAAACATGTAAACTATAGAGAGTCTGGATGACCACTAATTAACACCTGTAAAAAACCTACACTACAGAGAGTCTGCATGACCACCAATTAACACCTGTAAAACATGTAAACTATAGAGAGTCTGGATGACCACCAATTAACACCTGTAAAACATGTAAACTATAGAGAGTCTGGATGACTACTAATTAACACCTGTAAAACAAGTAAACTATCGAGAGTCTGGATGACCATTAATTAACACCTGTAAAACATGTAAACTATAGAGAGTCTTGATGACCATTAATTAACACCTGTAAAACATGTAAACTATAGAGAGTCTGGATGACTACTAATTAACACCTGTAAAACATGTAAACTATAGAGAGTCTGGATGACTACTAATTAACACCTGTAAAACATGTAAACTATACAGAGTCCGGATGACTACTTATTAACACCTGTAAAACATGTAAACTATAGAGAGTCCGGATGACTACTAATTAACACCTGTAAAACATGTAAACTATAGAGAGTCTGGATGACTACTAATTAATACCTTTAAAACATGTAAACTATAGAGAGTCTGGATGACCACTTATTAACACCTGTAAAACATGTAAACTATAGAGAGTCTGGATGACCACTAATTAATAACACACCTAAAAAAAAAGTGAGCTATAGAGAGCCTTGATAAAAACAGACATCGTAATTTACATAACTCGATACTGAACTTGTTAGTAACAACAGGGGGCTTTAGAAGATAAATAATTAAATATGTTTTATTTTCTCTGGAAGTGTTGAAATGTTAGCTCCCTTTTCAATAATTTGGAACAAACTATCATAAATTACTCATAATTTATTGATATAATGATGTAATGAAATTATTACCTTGGCAACTTGCCCAGTGTTGGTTCCTAAAACTGCTACTCTCTCTTTGTTTTGTATCACCATGACAACAGATGTTAACAGTTTGTCAGGCACATGGTAGAGAGAATCATGACTCAGTTTAAACTGGTCCCTGTTTTGACTGGTGGCACTCTCCTGTATTCCAATGTTGGTCAACAATCCACAGAAGTCTTTCTGGACATAATTCATCTAAATAGTAAATTTGTAGTGATTCTACTGAGGTCAGGGGAATAACGGGGGAGATGAAGACATTCTTATCCAAAAAATAAATAAGCAAACCAGAAAAAAACCTACTAAATGCACATTGCTTAAAAACAAGAGGCACTTTCTGTGTTATCAATTAACATGCATAAGATCAGGGTTTTGTTTGAAACATTTATGATAACAATGCTATATGTAACACTTACATCTCGTTCACAATTCCTAACTTCTGATAAGCTTTTCCCCACCAGCCAAGTAACTTGACTTCCTACACCTTCAGAGAAACACTGGTACTGTAACTCTTCAAATTTCTGAACAATATCCAGAATATCATAAAAACACAGAACAGATCCCAGGGATGGATCCGCATCAGAACCACTGCTTGTCCTTCCAAACGTTACCGCTAGACCACTGGAAAGATCATTGGCTAGTGATGGGTTATAATATGCATCAATGGCAATGTCATACACCACAGAGTTAGACATACACTGTAGAGGGAGCTCAGTGTAGGAGGCATACGTTTTGTCCTTTTGACAAATCTGAATGATTTTTGTGAGATATCTTGGTGTACTTGCTAGAGCATCCTCCATTTGGACTGAGATAAAGTATGTATGGTTCTCATACTCAAAACCATAGATGTAGTATGCTTTGAACTTCTTTATAAGATCTGAATGAACATCAACATATGTGTGATACATAGAACCATTAATATAATATTTAAATTCTCTGTCTTTAGCCTGATAATCTCGTGTAGAGATGGCAGCTGGTTGATATTGGGGTGGTCTGCCATCCATCCCCATGGCGACATACAAAAGATCGCCACCACCACCCACAGGTTTACTGCCATAAAACGCGAACACATGCCTCTTATTGATGCTGCCCACAAAGTTGGTTTTACTGTTTGTCAGTTTGAGAACACGACTTATGTTTCTAGTGTCTCTAAGCTCACACTTGCCCTGCCAAATAGAGCCACAAACCAGCATATACCCTGTCCCTTTATCATATGCTAGAATATTGACCTGATTACTAGTGGGGATTCTTCCCTCACTACATGCCCCTGTGGGGTCTGGTGAACACTGCTGATTATCTTTCCAGGGGCCCATTACCTCTCCTCCTAGGACAAGCAAATCAGACCGCAGATGAAGTAACACATTCTTAGCCCCCAGATAAATGTCCCCCGTGTCAGGGTGGACCATAATTTCATATATACTCCCCTGATCTACATGGTGTGAGATGACAGCTGCTTCAGGCTGTGTCCTGGTTATCTCCAGTAGCAGGAATACCCCACAACATAACACTACTATCTTCTTTTCCATTATGCTGCCTTTTGTTTTTCAACCATTTGCTCTTTTGAACAGGCTCCCAGAAGGTAAACTTCCACCTAACTTCAATATCAAACATTCACTTGTCAAATAATTCCACTTCCAATTGATTAAACATTGTTCAACAGCATCAGCTGATCAGACTGCAATAAAAAAAATATAATTGATATATACATGTTCAAATGTATATATAAACTGACAGATATAAATGAAATCAATTAAGAAATACAAGTATTATGCCTTCATATTGTGTCAACTATAACCTGAGGCCAAATGGTTAAGCAATATCCACATTGCCACAAGAACCTTGTCTGAGTGATTTTTTTTTTTTTTACATATCAATATATATTACACCTGTAATCTATCAATGGTATCTTAGTCTGCTTTCCATTTGGTTACACTTGCATCCTGAAAATTCAGATAAATCCCAGTAGTCACTATATATTTCTGATTTCAAGTGCTAGCCACTCGTCCCAGGAAACACTGTATTAAGATTAGTACTGGAATTTAAGAAGTTTTAGTGACTTTATTCAGACTAACATCACATGTACAGTATTTGTTGACTGTAATTATGTTCCACTTTTAGAAACTTCAGTGTACATAATGCACTATTGTTAAATTCCTTGAGGATGAAATCATTTAAAAAAAAAAAGAACGACTATAGGAAGTATTCCCTAGCATATCTCAGCACAGCATCCCATTGTCACTTGCATATTAATGAACAATAATTAAGGCACACTCATATATATTTCAATTCTCTTTAAATTAAATTATAATTAAAATATGCATACATGAAATAAAAAAAAGTAATACATTATCTGTCACTACCAGTACCAGTAATACATTATCTGTCAGTACCAGTACCAGTAATACATTATCTGTCACTACCAGTACCAGTATATATATTGCTGTCTTCACTTTTTCACAGCATATATTTTTTATGAGGAAAAAATTATTCTCTAAATTCATATTTCTAAAGTAAATTAAATTCAAATTTCAAAACTGATTTCCAATTTCCTATAGTGAAATGCAGGCCTTGATCTATATTATACTTACTGGAAAATTCAGGATGGAAATTTCTACCTCCACATTCTAAAGCTGGTTTGAAAATTGGTATCGTAACATTTGAAGGTAGCTGTATGATAAAAATGGTAATGGATAATTACACACTATGCCACAATTCTAAAATGTCAAACAATGATTTACTGAAATTGCCTCATTAACATTGATTATTGCACGCTCTTTTAGCCATGTAGTATCAGTAATAAACCAAATATGGCAAGAAAGAAAAAAACATCAATACATCATTGAGCACCAGTGCAGATGTGGATGGCGGGAGGGGGATATTAACCCCCATTTCTGAAATATATATGCCTTTACGTAAACACAGTTCACACAAAAGAGAAAATTCGAGTTGCATGTTTCTATTTCTATATATGCATGACCCCACCCATGAAATGTATGTCAAGGTACATGCTTAAACTTTTTATTTCTTAATATGTGCATGAAGCCTCTATCATTTTATAAATTACAATTTTGTTTGTCATTGTTAACAATATATACAAATAGAAGACATGAAGAAAAGGTACAGCCGTAATTACAGGTGGTATGAGTAATGAAGTTCGATCAAATAATACCGGAAATCAAGGCTATATAACTAAGCTTTCAGTTCAATACTTCTAATACGTACATTAATTAGTTTTCTTCAACTAAATAGTTGGTTACTTTTTTACATCCGTGTTCTTTATTACGTACTTTTCAGAAACTTACCTACATAAGTATAACATACTTACACAGTTTACCTGTAGAGGGGATACAGTGTACTTTCATTTTCATCGACCAAGCCGGAAGCCACAGGTAGCTTTTGTTGGGCGGATCTTTCTTTTTCCTCACGAAGTACATTTTAGACCTCGAACTTTATTTTAAATTTGATGAACAGAGGATGGAAATTTATGGTACTCTGATTCATTAAGATAGGTTAGAAAGACAATTAAATCCATAAACACGTTCATGTGAGTTAGTTTTTTTTATTATAATTATATTATTATTAATAAATTGCTACAACATGGCTGTAGGAACCGGGGTGGGGTGGGGGTGGGGGGTGGGGGTGGGGGGTGTGCCCCATTAATATTGCCAATATATAATATAGTATAGAAATATACAATGTGTAAGATATATACATGTATAGAGAACCATGCTTTAACCCCCCCTCCCCCCCCCCAAAAAAAAAAAAATTAAAAAACTAGACACAACCTCAACTTGCATGCACAAGAAAAGATACTGAATTGTTTTGAGTTTTGTTTTTTTTGTGTTTTTTTTGTTTGTTTTTTTTTTTCAAAATAGTTTTATTTATTTATATTTATTCATTTTTGTCAAACTCTTTCGTGTTAGTTACTGCAAAAAGGGACAATTTCAACAATAATGGTGGGATTCCCACTGACTGAGATCTTGCTGTCCAAATAAACAAAATTGTCTGATTCTTATTTCCTGAATAACCTTATTTTTGTATATAAAAATTTTCTTGCTGACTAGATGAACGAAATAGTCTACTTTCTATAATACAAGTATTTATAAATATTTTATAGAATTAAAATAGAAAAGTTTAAAGTCAAGTGTTGTAAAAATTGTTTCCATATGCTTTCTTCCCCTTTTTATTCAAGAAACATTTAAATATTAAACATCGGTGTAACATATATTGAGTAAAGAACTGCGAACGATAGTACTGTTCTCCCGCCTACCTCCAAGTCAATTTTCAAAAGTTAATACATTTGAATGATTTTTCATATCTACATAGATATTTATATGAATTTTCATAAAACATTACTTATTTGGGAATACAAAGAGAGACAACTCTATAATTTTGGTAAAACTTGTGTTTTTCACTATAGAAATCAACGGAAAACGGAAAATATTTTTAAAACATCTTTACCCCCCGTGAAACAAAAATTCCTTTTTACAGGTAATATGGACTGTCATTTTACAAATTCAGACCAAAGCTTTTTGTGTTTCACCGGGGGGGGGGGGGGGACATATGTTTACAGACAAAAAACTACAAAAATGCTTATTTTTTCACCAATTTCAATAGGGTTTACAACTAAAACATTGTATTTTATTAATAATATATGTTTAATTTTATGTGAGTAAAACATAAGAAAAGTTTTAAGGAACATTTATTCAAATCCAAGAATATTTTAAAAAGTGATTATGCTTTAACTGTTTAAAGCCCGATTTCAATAAAAAAAATATCGTCTACCCCACTTATTTAAAGAGCTGGAATTAGGGGTAATTAACTATTTAACCCTGGAATTAAAATTATCTGTCAATTACCATTGAACTGTTCTTTGCATTCAACAAAGATTTTACGGCCAAATTGCCATTAGTATTGAATTAAATGGGTGTAAAATGTAGGCGGGAATCGAGAGTTAGCGTGCGTAGTTCTTACTTAAATTGCACCTATTGTTTATACATAAATATTCATTGTTCTCTGTTTTGTTTTGTTTTTTATTTTGTATTGTATTGCTTGGACCCTATGGGTGTATTATGCAATAAAGAAAATTTAATTTTGATATTTTCACTAAACTTAATATAAAAACATAGGTAATCAAAGATTACGAAGCTCACCTCGACGAATGTTATCTTTAAGTAAGGCAAATTTCACACATTTTTTTTTATTTAGTGTACATCCCAAGATATGTCCATGCAAGTTTGGTTTAAGTACGACTTATAGTTACTTGGAAATAGACCTGTTCAAAAAAAGTTTATCCTGTTTACTAAATCAAGAAAATTTTGGTCAGTTTCAACTTCCAAAGTAAGTCTGGAAGTTTTCATCCTTAGAATTGCACCATCTATGCAAGTTTAATCATAACAGGCCATAATGTTACATAGCTACTCCAAAAAAATTATCCTGGTCACTCATCTGGAAAATGTAGGTCAGATTCAGGATCCAAAGCAAGTCTGGAAGTGACCATCCCTTGCTACATCATCCATGCTAATTTGGTTAAAATATGGCTAAAATTCACTCATGTGAAAAATCTAGGTCGAATCCAGCATCCGAAGCAAGTGTAGTAGTGTCCATCCCTAGATGCATCATCCATGCAAGTTTGTTCAAGGTAGAGCTTATAGTTACTTGGGAATGGACCTGCTCCAAAAACTTTAACCTGGTCACTCATCTGGAAAATCTAGGTCAGATCCAGCATCCGAAGCAAGTGTGGTAGTGCCCATCCCTAGATCCATCATCCATGCAAGTTTGGTCCAGGTAGGGCTTATAGTTACTTGGGAATGGACCTGCTCCAAAAACTTTAACCTGGTCACTCATCTGGAAAATCTAGGTCAGATCCAGCATCCGAAGCAAGTATGGTAGTGCCCATCCCTAGATCCATCATCCATGCAAGTTTGGTCCAGGTAGGGCTAATAATTACTTGGGAATGGACATGCTCCAAAAACTTTAACCCTAGTCACTCAACTGGAAAATCTAGGTCGGATCCAGCATCCGAAGCAAGTGTGGTAGTGTCCATCCCTAGATGCATCATCCATGCAAGTTTGGTCCAGGTAGGGCTAATAGTTACTTGGGTATGGACCTGCTCCAAAAACTTTAACCTGGTCACTCATCTGGAAAATCTAGGTCAGATCCAGCATCCAAACCAAGTCTGGTAGTGTCCATCCCTAGATCCATCCATGCAAGTTTGGTTCAGGTAGGGCTTATAGTTACTTGGGAATGGACCTGCTCCAAAAACTTTAACCTGGTCACTCAACTGGAAAATCTAGGTCAGATCCAGCATCCGAAGCAAGTGTGGTAGTGTCCATCCTAGATGCATCATCCATGCAAGTTTGGTCAAGGTAGGGCTTATAGTTACTTGGGAATGGACTTGCTCCTAAAACTTTAACCGGGACCCGACGCTAACGCCAATACCGACGCCGGGGGTATAGCATAAGCTCATTTTGACTTCGTCGAGGTGAGCTAAAAAGAGGCACATGAGCCTGAGTCTACATGGCCCAGCCGTAAGTCATCAACAGATTTTTTTCCCTATATATTCCTATGTAAAACTTTGATTGCCTAGCTATTGTGGACTCACGCTACCTCCCCCCCCCCCCGGAGGGGTTATGATTTAAACAAATTGCCTGAGGATGCTTCCATATCTATGTGATTAACCATGCCTTTGTCGTTCTTGAGGAGATGAAGGTCAGGGGAGCTAAAACACAAACAAATCCACGATTTTTCCTTTTTTAATTATCTTTTTTAAATGTTTTCCCTTTTATACAACAATCATGTGAAATTTACAATCAATATCAAAAGTAAAAAAAAAAAATCAGCTAATGGTCAAACATGGCACATGAGCAATATTTTCAATAGATAATGGTAAAACATGGCACAAATATTACTTTTTTAATCAATATTTTAGATTATCCTAACGCGGTGGTTTGTTTCTACAGATCTTCTCTGCCTGTCACGTTAATATTCTCCGGGTCTAAGACCGCCTTGTAGGTATGCAGGACGTCTTTCCTGTTATTAGGTCCCACCTCCAGTCCGAGCTCCGCCAGTCTCTGGAGGGCCCAGGTCAGATCTTTATTGTGTTGAACAGCTGCAGCCAGAACGGCCACGTAACCTGTCAACGCACCATGATCATTTTAAATCATAATTATAAACTTATGCAGGACCATTCATTTTACAGATTGGATATTATACAACATGTTGACTATTTTAACTCTAAATCATAATTATAAATACAATCGAGTAGGAATATTCCATTTACAGATTGGATATTATAAAACATGTACCCAACATAAATTTTGAAATCCCCCCCCCCTTTTTCCGTTCCAAGCTAAGATTACAATGGAAAGGGTGAAGGGGGGGGGGGGTTAGTAATGTGGAAGAATGTCAGCAAAGATCGCATAAATTATCGAGGTGCGGTTCTTTTGGAAAGAAAAGGGCAAATATCAAAAAATGTTTTAACTTTCTGGCATGTTAATTGAATCTACTACTAACTTGTAGTATTTGGACAACTTATCCACGTGTCATTCTATGGGGGGATAATAAATCAAAGTTTGTTATACCTGCTCTAAGAGCCTTACAGCAATGTACCAGGACCGGTCCTTTCTTCCCTGCCTCTAACAGTTGGTCTTTGTACATCTCAAACCATTTGGTCGTAAATGGAATGTTAGTATCTGTACAAAGGTTGAAAAAAAATCAAATTAGTATAAATACTAAAACCGTTAAACCTAGTTCTGTTTAACTGGTTTTGTTTGTTGTTGCTACTTTTATAGTTTGGAATTATGTGAGTTTTTTGTGAGATTTGGCCTCATAAAAAATATGACCACCTAATCTTTATGATTTATTAGGTATGGGTATTTAAAAAATAAAAACGTTTATTTTTTTGTGATGAGAAAAATATATATAATGTCAAGGTGCCTGCTAAGATACCATCTTCTCATTACGAACCTCACACATGTATAGGGTCATAACAAGGCCTTGACATTGACTGTGTCTCATATTGTTTCGTACAATAATATTTGGGATGCTACCGCAGAAGTTATCGGACATTGTACTTCCCGATGATAATCGAATGTGCGCGAATCAGAGCCGTGTTAATATTTTGATTCACTAACGAAAATATCGCATTGATTTGAACATATTTAATTATGTATCAAAATAATTGGATTAGACTGAAGATATTACCCATGTAAGCCTCTTCATAATCATGTTACCCCCCTCCCCCCCCCCCCCCCAAAAAAAAAGGAAAAAGAATCGAACCCACCTTCTATCAAAATTTGGGCCCAATAAAATAAAGGCACATCACTGTAAAATTTCATCACGAAAAGGTTTCAATTTTTTGGTGAAAACACGAGTATTTATTTTTTTATCTTTAATCTGCACTCAATAAAGAAAAACATAAAATATCGATTGCAAAAGGTAGAACTTATGTATGGGGGCATTGGGGGCCCTGTGTACACTAAACACAATGAAGCTGAGGGAGCAGAATCCCACTTAAAGGGTTCAGGACACAGATTGCATATTTGTTTTATTTATTATTTTAAATTTCTATTATTATTCAAGAAATAATTTCAGTGTAATGAATTGAAGTTAATAAATATTCTTAGAATTCAATGACAATTAACGACGTTCTACATAACATCACGCCAAACATATGTGTTAACTGCATGTTTGTAAACAGGGCACGAGCTCTGTTATTGTTAATGTTTACGTTTTACCGGGTGTGTTCAAACTGTATACTTAGTACTCTGCACATATCACTGAGCACGGACTGTCAATACTGTTGAGTTTGTTTTGCTTTCTCACATTTCTGGGTTATGATTTTAATATTTTTCACTAATACACGACAAAATTTCTATTTTTCTTTAAGTATTAAGGATAAAGTTTACTTCGTGAAAGTGTAAGGATATGTGTCAATCAAACACGTCTCGAAATTCATAGTTTTAATAATTTCTAAATGAAAGTTTCTAAACATGCCTTCATTATATTTCGGTGTTCTAGCAACATATACGTTATGATACTATACTGAAAATTCTAGAAAATATTAGCTTCAAGTCTGTGTCCAAGCCCCTTTAAGGTCTACTCATACATTGTACTTTATATTAATTTTTTCGTCAATCATTTTTACTACCCAGTCTGTCCTCAACAATAACTGTAAGGGAACGTGGAAATGTTTAAGCATAAAAAGTCTATAAATGTTAGTTGGTTAACAACATTTTTTTATTCCTTTTACTTTCCTAGAAAAAAAAAACAATAAATGACAAGGTCCTCTTTAAAATAATTGTTTGTTTGCCCTCTCCCAACTCAGGGAAAAAAGAAATGGCTCGGTAGCCTAGGTAGGTGGGGCATTTTTCTCCCTAGAAAATGTCAACATACGTGATGATGGGATGAGAAAATTCAGGAATAAAAAGAAAAAAATTATCGTTTCGTGGAGGCTAGAAAAGGCTTTCAGTCGGGCCATTTTTAGCCAGTCGGTTTGGAGAGACTAATAATAATAAGCGCCCCTAGTGGTATCATTAAATGAAAGTATTCAGTCCAAACAAAAGTGTTTGATAAATACAATCTCTTCTCCCTCTTTCTTTCTCTAACTACAATTCCAGCCTCGCTACCTTTTGTACTAGGGCTATATCTAATTATTTATCGCATAAGATATGGCAGAAGTTTCTAGAAACTAAGACCAATATCAACCGCATTTTAATGTATTCAGACTGACAGTGTCATTAGCAATACTTTGATATCATTAATGAAATACTTATTATTCAAAAACCCAAATATGTGTGTTTTTAAATAATAAATAAACTTTCTTCAAAGAACATATGGTTTTGAGAAAACATTATCATTTGATTGTAGAATAATTTTTAAAGATTTTATGCCAAAACGAGAGGGCATATTAAGCTGATGAATGTTCAGACAATCAGAAAACTTTTTATTAAATGATTAAAATGGAGTTATGGTTACCTAATGGCATGAAGTAGTAAGGAAAGTTGTGTTTTTGGAATGCCTCTTTCTCTAGGTTCTCATTATATCCTGTCTCGTCTCCAAATTCAGCGGGGTTACTGGTGGCAAAGTTGTATGGCGATTCAGGGGAGATGTAGGTGTTGGGTTTGTTCTTGTCTATGACATTTGCTTTCAGTGAGTTGATACTTTGACGCAATTCTAGGTCAGAGTTTTCCACAGGTTTACACGGCACATCCTTAACATTGAGAAGCGTGACTGTCTCTCTTTGTGTACGTAGATTAACTACAGCTTTAAAGCCAGCCTGTTTGATCATGCTGATATGACTTGTCAATATCTGTCCTGCAGTATACCAATTCTTATAGACAGGAGCGGCATGCCAATAGTCGTACCATTCCTCAGGCTCATTCTCCAGCTCTGGGATGTATTCACTTTTAACCTTATCACCTGTAATGGTTGCCAGAGTGTCTTTGACGCAGTCCATGTTGAAATCCATGCCTAATACTTTTGTCATGTCGAAAAATTTCTTGGCATCAACTTTTGGTGTAAAGTTGGATTCAAGTTTTGTTCTGTTGACCAGGTACATAATGACATCAAAAGATATTGTGTACCCCCTGTCACAATGCGCCAATACTGGCCGAGGCAAATTTGATAAGATGCTGCCCACTTTTTGGACCGATTCAAACTGTGCCCAGTCATCATATGGGCCTAGCGCAGTGGTATATTGCAGACCAGCGAGTTCAGCAATTTGTTTAGCTTCTTTAGTGGTAGGTAAATATTCACCCCCGAAATCATACCCTTCGTCATCAGCATATGGAAACAATGACAGGATACTTTTAAATCCGGCCTCTGCAGCGTACTTTATTTCTCTTTCTGAGAGTCTACCTGCCACATATATATCTGACGTTATCTCCTTGGCCCACCATGACTTTTGTCCAGGAGCACTTCTCTTTGAAATAGTGTTCAATTTTAACTCCGAAAGTACGATAGGAAACTGTGTCACCAGAATAGACACTAAAACAGACAAATAATGTCCTCGAAATTTTAACACCATCACTGGCATAAGATTAGAGAATAGAATATTCGATAACGATATATCTTCCTGAGTTTCAGTGTGCGACACACACGGTCACACGTAATCGTTGCAGACAACAACCGGATATTTTTAATGGCAGACGAAATGAAAGAACATTCTCGATCTAACACAATGGAATCCGCATTAGGCTATGTGGAATGGATCTTCAACGATGCACCCTCTTCTTTTTTTATGCCCCCGGATCGAAAGATCTTGGGGGTACATGTATATTGTTTTTGTCCTGTCTGTCTGTTTGTCTGTTTATCTGTTTGTCCGTTTGTCTGTCTGTCTGTTGTCAACTTTAACCTTGCCCATAACTTTTGATTGGTTGGAGCTATGACTTTCATATTTCACATGTGTATTCCTTGTGACAAGACCTTTCTTTGGGTACCATCATTTTTGACCTTGACCTTGGAGTTTGACCCACTTTTGCAAAATTTTATGAGACTTTAACCTTGGCCATAACTTCTGAACAGTTGGTGCTTGGGGTTTCAAACTTCACATGTGTATTCTTTGTGACAAGGCCTTCCTCTGGATACCAACAACTTTGACCTTTTGACCTTGACCTTGGAGTTTGACTTACTTTTGAAAAACTTTAACCTTGGCCATAACTTTTGAACAGTTGGTGGTTAGGGTTTCAAACTTCACATGTGTATTCCTTGTGACAAGACCTTCCTCTGGATATCAACCACTTTGACCCTTTGACCTTGACCTGGGAGTTTGACCTACTTTTGAAAAACTTTAACCTTGGCCATAACTTTTGAATGGTTGGTGCTAGGGCTTTCATACTTCACATATGTAATCCTTGTGACAAGATCTTCCTTTCGATACCAACCACTTTGACCTTGATTTTGACGTTTGACTTTTATTTAAAAAACTTTAACCTTCGCCATAACTTTTGAACAGTTGTATCTAGGTCTTTCAAATTTCACAGGTGTATTCCTCGAGACAAGACCTTTCTTTGGGTATCAACATTTTTTATCTTTTGGCCTGGATTTTGACTTGCATTTGAAGAAACTTTAACCTTCGCCATAAGCTGCCATACGGGGGCATCAGTGTTTCACAAACACATCTTGTTTTTTAATGTTATTCTTTTTTATACCTCTGGATCGAAAGATCCCGGGGGTATATTGTTTTTGTCCTGTCTGTCTACTCGTCTGTTTGTCTGTCTGTCTGTTGTCAACTTTACCCTTGCCCATAACTTTTGATTTGTTGGTGCTATGACTTTCATATTTCACATGTGTATTCCTTGTGACAAGACCTTTCTTTGGGTACCATCATATTTGACCTTGACCTCGGAGATTGAACCACTTTTGCAAAATTTTATGAGACATTAACCTTGGCCATAACTTCTGAACATTTGGTGCTTGGGGTTTCAAACTTCACATGTGTATTCTTTGTGACAAGGTCTTCCTTTGGATACCAACAACTGTGACCTTTTGACCTTGACCTTTTGGAGTTTAACTTACCTTTGAAGAACTTTAACCTTGGCCATAACTTTTGTACATTTGGTGCTTGGGGTTTCAAACTTCACATGTGTAATTCTTGTGACAAGACCTTCCTTTGGATACCAACCACTTTGACCTTTTCACCTTGACCTAGGAGTATGACCTACTTGAAAAATTTTATGAGTGGCCATAACTTTTGAATGGTTGATGCTAGGGCTTTCATACTTCACATGTGTAATCCTTGTGACATGACCTTCCTGTGGATACCAACCACTTTGACCCTTTTTCCTTGACACAGGAGTTTGGCCTACTTTTGAAAATTTTAACCTTGGCCATAACTTTTGAATGGTTGGTGCTAGAGCTTTCATACTTCACATATGTAATCATTGTGACAAGACCTTCCTTTGGATACCAACCACTTTGACCCTTTGACCTTGACATAGGAGTTTGACCTACTTTCTAAAAACTTTAACCTTGGCCATAACTTTTGAATGGTTGGGGCTAGGGCTTCCATACTTCACATATTTAATCCTTGTAACAAGACCTTCCTTTGGATACCAACAACTTTGATCTTGACCTTGACGTTTTACTTACTTTTAAAAAACTTTAACCTTCGCCATAACTTTTGAACAGTTGCAGCTAGGGCTTTCAAATTTTACAGGTATATTCCTCGAGACAAGGACTTTGTTAGGGTACCATCATTTTTTATTTTTTGGCCTGGATTTTGACTTGCATTTGAGAAACTTTAACCTCTGCCATAAGCTGCAATACGGGGCCATCAGTGTTTCACAAACACATTTTGTTTAAATATTTTTTTTAAATAAAAATTCTAATATCACTAATAATTTCGTCTTACTATTCTAAAAATATATGTATATCTATATTATTAGATATCAATGTAATTTGGTCACTGACATAACCCCTCTCCCTTTCTGACCACAGGCACCTGAAGACACCCCCTCCCATTAATTAACAATTGTAAGAGCATATTATTTCTCATAAATTTGAGACTTCCCCGTCAATCACATTCATATTTTGTTCTATGCAAGCAGATTGTTCTTTTTCATCATGTTAAGAGATTATATTTAATTAAATGAAATGAAAATATTAAATTAATATGTATTTTTTAGTATACCGTATATATGGCTAATCTCTAAAAGTGAGAAAAGTTCAGTCTGCTTGCATGCATAGAAGGAAACTTGACTGATCGACGGGGAAATCTAATATTTGTGAGAATTTATAAGATCTTTCTATTTTTTTCCATTAAAAAAGGGGGGGGGGACTTCAGGTGTCTGTGTATCTGAGCGCCAAGAACTGATGGGCACAAAACTTCATGACCCCTTGGCTTAGAGACTTAATTTATGGAGAGTGGTTTTCATAATGATTAAATGTATACCTAGAGAATGTGAACTTTAACAACTTCGGTAGTGGCCATTATTGATTTCTACACAGATGAACAGAGAAATAAATATACTTTTTATTTTTACTGGGACTTTCTTCAGATGTCAAAGCATTCAATTTCCCTGATATTTTAGGGTCTTTTACATGTGGAAATTATTTTAATTTTATTTAGAAATTCTTTTTTAATACAATAGCGATTTTCGATATTAAAGAGCAGTTCCTGATGCCAATGTCCTGTCAGTTATTTTTTCTTACATTCCATACATGTTCGTATTTTTTTCAAGATTCCTATCGTTTTTTCCCCTTCTTTTTATAAACGGTAGGATCCACCCCCAAGCCTTGTAAGTTTCCCCATAATCACGTCCTGCATTCTTGTATATTAATCTAAAAACTCATTCAACGAATATAAAACTTTTAAAAGAGATTTATCAGAAAAATAACGTTCTTATTATACATCACTCCTGTTTCCTAAAATTATTTTTCTCTCCATGGCTTTTTACCGGTCAAAATACAACTTGATTAAAGTACGTAAAATATCCTAAGCAGATACCAAAAATGTACAAATTGAATAGGGGAAATGTAAAAAGGATGTAACAAGCTGGACATACCCGCTGTATAAATAAAGTCATCTACGTAGCATTATCTATATTTAGAAATAACTCTTCATGCGTCGTCGTATTTAAATGTCCTTCTCGATTTAGGGAATAATCGCGAGTTTCTGCAACACCCTCTTTGGCACAAAATTTAAAGATATACACGCTATATAAACGCGATTTTTTTTATGTGAAACAAAATGATTAAATGATCTGAAAAACATGATGTATAATAAAAAAAAAAATTACTTTCCACAAAGTTTTACTAAATAAGTCGTTGTAATTACAAAACAATTAAGCAAGATCTGCATTTAAGAATTCATCTTTTTCATGAATACTAGACTTTGACCCGTGCGTGCACGGGTTGACATTGTTATGAATGCATCCATGTGCATATCGGAGATTTACAAAATAAATACAACGAACCATTCATATTGTAACTTACTTTTGAGATAACCAATGAATGTGAATATAATTCTGAGGGGGTTTTTGTTTTTGTTTTGTTTTGTTTTTTGTTTGTTTGGTTTTTGTTTTGTTGTTGTTGTTGTTTTTTGGTTTTTTTTTTGTTTTGTTTTGTTTTTGTTTTTTTGCAAAATTGTTGCGTAACGGCGTAGCGCAAAATGGCTTTGACCACCAGTTAGCTATAAATCAAGTCCTGAGTTAGAATCACGCCGGAGCTTACATAAATTTCACCTTTCCAAACAAATTTAATGAAAGAAATTATGGATATTTATTGAAAATATGACAACAACAAAGAGTTCAGCACTGCTGATACATATCAAGCAAAGTAATGAAAATGAAGAAATGTGCTAAGCTGGTATTTTTACACAATCAGTTATTAAACTAAAGGTGTATAAAAATTTTGTAACAATCTTAACACTGCAGGTCTCAACTTGTTCAAAATACGACCTCAACAATAAAAGAGTTAAGCACTGCTTATACATAATTATACTTTATATATACATAGGTAATAGACATGTATATAACTGTTAAAGCAGAAATGAAAATGGACAAATGTGCTACACTGGTATTTTTACACAATTTAGCAGATGTGAAGCAGAACAGATTATCTTGCAAATACCCCCCCCCCCCCCAAAAAAAAAAAACATACTGGTTGTACAAGAGATCATAATAAAAATTAAGAATATCAAATGTACTTTATATATGATATAAGAAAATGCTCTCATAATTGTCTGTTTTGATAAAAATTAATGTGATATCCTTGAATTAGTACAGTATAAAATATATGGGAAACATAAATTATCATTATTATTAGATAAACCAAGCTAAGTAGGAAAGAAGGAACTTGAAATTACTTCTTGCTGCAATAATGAAGCCTTTTCCTGGGGGGTGGGGGGGGGGACAACTCTTTTTGGATCATACAATATCATATCCATTTTTTAAATGAAATCATACAATGTAATCAGAAACATTTTAAAATAAATGTTTCTGATGTAATTATTCAGAACATAATTTTTTCCAAAATATTTAGTAAAGTCTGAGTTTACTGACCTTGACCGATTTTATTTTGGGACAGCCAATGAGAATTTGGGTGCGGGATCTTGAACTGAATATGGGAATTTTTCTTACTT